TGGTATATACTTTATTGCAAAAGAGAACATTTTATTGTTGGATAAATATAATTTTATTTAAATAGTCAAAAATTAATCTCGCAAGAATATTTGTATCTACGTAAGATATAATAAAAATACAATGAATATTTTTGTAAGTAGTATTAGGTTGGTCTTCCTTTGCATCTTATAATGCTTTTAAGATGATTGAGTCTATCTATTGTACGACCTATTTTCTTATTAGTTACGTATAATTTTACTTTTCTTTTACTTTTTTTTTTTTTTTTTGCAATAAAATTTATATCAATTTCAAAGTTCAACACCAATCCTAAAATATGTTTCTGTGCATAAAAATTTCAAAATATCGATTATTTTAAATTGAAAGTGAGGGCACGTATATTCCTGTGTGACTCGTCGTATATAATATGTAAGTAAATAAATAAATAAGAAAAAAAAATTCTAAAAAGTGATACACGAATCATTCTCGAGAGTGCGCTTTCGTCGTAAATGTATTTCTATCCTCGTCACAACTCACCTCCATAGAAATATATTTGTAAAAATTCGTAGAGTACAAACCCTAAACTTCCGTCGCTTTTACCACTAACCATAAGTTTACGGGACGCGTCATTTTGACACATTTCAAATTTCACGATGAAAATTACATAAAAATTGTATTTGCATTTTGTTGTTATTATCACTTGTACCGACTTTTATCCATTTTAACGAGGAAAACATATATCGAAGTTTATTCTCTTCAAAAGTTTTCTAATATTGAAATTTTCTATGTAATATACCTATTTCTACGACGGATATGCTTCAATTTATATATTCAGCATATATGTTAGTAAATTAGTTTCACCCGTGTAACCGTGTAAATTACATCAGAAATAAATATGAATGTGACAAATAAACGTAATTCTTCAAGAATGTAATTCTGTCAATTGTAAACAATGTAATATTGTAATACAATGCAACGACGATATCAAGATCCTATTATCTCAAATAAGCATTGATAAACCACATAACCGTCACCAACTATGCCCTACATATTAACGTTGAGAAATACAAATACAGAAAAGGAATATAAGCATGAGAAGAAAGAACGAAACGTGGAATGTGAATTGCAATCATATAGGTGTGAAGATGTTTTTAAAGTTTTAGTTGCTATTAATTCGTGCATTGAAGAAAAAATTCTTTATAATAAAGCATTTTATGAATTAATAACATTATTGTGAAATTCAATTTTACATTATTTTGACAAATAGCTTTTCTTTATCATTTAAATATGATTAGAAGAGAAAATAACATTTTGAAAAACATAATCAGTATAAGTTAAGAGTGCTCTGACACGAGCTGTGGATAAAGTATTCGCGAAATAAATGTAGAATATTGAAATAATTTGAATAGTAAAATATTATTGAATAATATATAAATTTTATATAAATATATTTTTTCACATTTTTAAATTTATAGTGTATTATATTATGTTGCTTGTTAAGTTGTTGTTTTTTTTTTTTTTTTTAAAGAAAATATGTTTTCGTTCATGCGTCAAATTAATGTGTGTTCGTAGAGTGATTTTACGATCAATGTATATATTCCAGTCAATCTATAGAATGCCTGGAGGCTTTTGGTCAATCTATAAAATGTGCTTCACTGGGGTGTGTTTATAGCACGGGGTGAGAGGGGGGCAAAGTAATCTTAAGCTCTTGTAATTGAAACAAACTATGGAAATTTAAAACTGTGTACACATTGCCATTAAGAAATTTCGGTTAATTTATAAAATATACTTCAGTGGAGTGTGTTTAGGAAAAAACATCTCAAGCTATTATAAATGAAACAAACAACGAAACTTGTTTATTCATACATTTTCCGTACTGTGCACGCACACATGCACGCGTTTTCGCAACTACCTAACTATAAAAACTTAATCCTCCAAATTTTCACGTTGTAAAGGTAAAAGGGAAAAGTAGAAAAAAAACACGAATTTAATTATTAATAATTAAAGATATATTTTGTTATTCTTTCACTATAAACATTAACGTGGTGCTCGGTTTCTGTTAAAAGTTCAACTTTTTTTCCTATTAATATCACTTCACCTTCCTTCCCCTGTATTCTAAACACACTCCACTGAAACACATTTTGAAGATTAACCGAAACTTGTTAAGGACATTATATACAAATGAATAAATCTTCATGGTTTGTTTAACTTACACCAGCTTAAAAACACTTCACTTATTCCCCACCCCACCCCCTGAGCTCTTAACACAGTTAACTTAAGCACATTTTATAGATTTACCAAAACCATCAGAGCGTTCTATAGGTTGACCGGACAATCTATAGAATATATCCTACTCGATTGTATATAAGAGTTAAGTAATATATAAGACAAGTATATAAGAAATGTCTGTAAAGCTAGTTTTAAATTGAGCCGCCGCAGCTTTGTCGTAGTAAATAAAGCCACTGAAGAGGTATTGAAAAGACATTAAAAATAAGATCTTCTGGTTCTTGGTCTTGATTTTTTATTAAATGAGCAGAGAGCTGGAGAAAAATGAAAAAGAAAAAAGAAAAAGTGAGCGGAGATTAAGAAAACGGATTGATCGTTTGAAAGTTGTTTCTTTAAAAGGTACAACGAAGGGACAGCGATTAGTCACCCTGCATTTTATAAAATGAACTTCGTAGAAACGCATCAATCGATAGTAACCTTTGTCCTCTCACTTCTGTCCTTCCTCTTTAATATCCTTTAACTATGATTTTCCGCCAATCGAAATGTTGTATCGTAAAGTTATTCGAATAAATTATTCAAACGCACTACTTCTTTATATGTATAACACTAAATATTATATTAGTATTTCTATCACATATACGATGCGTGTAATATTAATTTTTTAATTATTTCTTTTTACAATATGTAAGTATATGTTTTAAACGTTAATATATTCTACCTGTGTAATTGTTTATTTTTATCTCCATTTGTCTAATTTCTAACAAAACATAGGATAATGTTCAGTGCAAAATCAGGTCAACAATCACTCTTTAAAAATTAATTTAAAAACCAGTATCTGTTTCTTCGTAAGATAAACACTATGAATGTCGGCATTCAATGTGTTGATATATCTCACACTATTTATTATAATAAAATCTAATAATAAATCTTGTTCAATTTGTGAGAAGATTAATTTTACATCGAACGATAATATTTAAATAATGCTAAATACTAAATTAATATTGTTAGAAAAAATATATAAAAATCAAGTGATTAAATTACATAAAATATATCATTTCAATATTTTACTATTAATAGAATAAAACGATTCTGCCGTTATGATTAATTAATGAAAATGTAATTAAATACGTTACTTAAATCGTCGAAGTATGTACTAATGTATTATTCGAAAAATTCACGTGTTTACCATTCGAAATACGATAGACGAATAAAAGTGATAACTTTTTTCTGCCTAACAATAAGGACGATCTCAAACGCATGACTGTTTTGTTTACGTTCTCGCGCAAAACTAATTACCTGGAATTCTGCATAATATTCAAATATACACGAATCCCCAAAAGTAATATGTATACCCAATTACTTATAACTGCAGACAACGATTAAAATTCGAATAAGACTTACGTAACACTGTTATATTTCGTTCTATTTTCATTTAAATATATCAATATAAATCAACATAAATCAAATTATATAGAAAATAATTCTCTCTAATCAGATTATTACCAAGTAATCTTCCAGTTCGTATTTCCTTGAATAATATAATTTATGAATTTTTTCGTATAAAATATATACGTCAAAGAAAAAAAACATAATTGGTCAATTAATTATAATCCATTTGAAGCCTACGAGGAACAAAAAGAAAAAAGGAAAAAAAAAATTGTTAATACCCAACTAACGACTGATAACTTCACAGATACCTGCTAAATTGTTTAGTATCAACGCTCAATTTATCTTATATGAAAGAATAAAAAAGAAAAAGTGAGTGAGTGAGTGAGAGAGAAAGGGAAAGAGAAAGAGAAAGAGAGAGAGAGACGTGTGATAGTAGTTAAAGAGGATAAAAAAGTAAAATCCTTGAACGAAGTGGAACCTTGAAGCAGAGAGTAGAAATGAAGGTGTTGACCCGTTAGCAAGAGCTGCCTTTACCTTGGGTCATCGGTCGATATAAATCAACGGATGCCGCCTTTTCCCTTGGCGGTTGGGAATGGAGGACATCACTGGCAGGCAGTAGTACCTTCATACCTCCACCCTTTGTAACATCCCCTAGAGAAAAAAGAAACGGGCGTTACGTAACTCTCGCTCCATTAGATTACATGCTTTCGCTCTCACTCTCTTCACGCGTATTCTCATGTTCCTGTGATTTGCACGACTCCTTTGGCCAATCTAATGGGTTACCTTTTCGATAAGAATCCACATTTTCTACCGCCTACCATTATTATCCTTTTGCCCCTTTTTTTCAACTCCAATCCTGATTTATGTTTACGTGATCGAGATCTGAAATAACGATAAAAACCTTCTAAACAGACATAACAATTTCAAATAATTACATACCCAATTAATATCATTTACACGGTATATTATTATATCTCGGATGTTTTTTACCTACGAATATAATTCTAATAAAGTAATGGAAATTGAATTGATATCATTTTGTATATCGATAAGTATTTCCAAATATAGATTTCAATAAAAAAAAAAAAATATCGTATGACAATATTGAAAGATACAAACAATCAATTTAAATCGAATTTCAAATGCACCTAATTGTAGCTTCAATTTAACGAAACAATTTGTATTTCTAAGAAAAAGGTCATGAAAAAAAAAATAGTCCTCCATTTGATCTACGATTGTTCTCGTCAATCTTTCTATCCCTTTTTTCTTTCTCTCTCTCTCTCCCTCTCTCTCTCTCCCTCTCTCTCTCTCTCTCACTGTCACCGTCCAATTTGATTACGTAACCTTTTAAGCTGTGTATCACGAAAAGCAATCGCCCTTTTGTCTTTATTTCCTTTTGTGTTCACAGGTCTCCTTCTTCTCAACGAGCCCTGAACTCTCGAATAAGCAACGATTCGAGTATTTCAGCAGAACTATACCGAGTGATCATTACCAGGTCAAGGCTATGGTAGACATCGTTTTAAAAATGGGATGGAGTTACGTGTCTATCATATACGAGGAGAGTAATTACGGAATTAAAGTAAGTCATATATGTTTATATTTGTTATTATTTTCATGATATTTTTAACACAGGAAAAAGAGATTCGAAAATTTGTCACAATTTTAAACGATCAAATACAAATAAGAGAAAATTATTTTCTCCTTTTCCCTTTCTTTTTTTTTTTTCTTTATATTGGAACTCAAATTACTAGAGATATATTTGCGAGTGTCCATTAGAAGCTTTTGTTCTACCAGAAACGTGATTCTTCTTTCTTTCCAAGAAACTTTCGAGAAAAATAGAATAGTAAAGAGAAAATGAAAGGACGATTCCAAAGTTCTCGAGGATATGAGAAAAAAAAAAGGAAAAAGAAAAGAAAAGAAAAGAAAACTTGGAAGATTGCACGCGAAAGGTGAGAACGAGAAACTGTATAATAATCGTTTTGATCGAAATATAAATTAAAAGTGATTATATGAAACTCGCGTTAAGAGAACCCCTTGATATTTAATAAAATAATTGTTTGATCATCAGGAAATTATTAATTTTATATTATAATCGATGCATATACGAACAAAGAGATACGTAGTTACTTTTCAGAGAGAGTATTATTTATTAAATTTTATATTATTATTCTCGAATATTTATAAAGAATGTTAAATAACAAGAATCGTTTAGTAAGAAACAATAGAAATTTAAACAGAAATGTAACCAACGTCGCATGCAGATATCAAAATCCAATAATTCAGAATAGGATAAAATAAAAGAGATGAATTTTAACGATAGTAGTAGTATTGCGAGATAGTACTTTTGTCATAAACCAATACGTAGATGTAACTCGTTTTTCTCCCCATCCATTTTCATTTTCCCGATACACGGTAGCGCATTCTCAAAGGGGCCTACACGTATGCGAAAATGAAATAATACTCTGTGTTCAATGAAGACCGGGTTTGTCAAAAAGGATTGTAAATATTCCAACGAGCTATTCGTCAAGCTCTTTTTTCTCTCTCTCTTTCTCTCTCTATCAGGAAGTCCGTTAAACAAAATTATTCCATTCTAAAGCCATGATATTCCTCTATTATCACCGTTTGAAAAACATTTATCGCTATTCAAAGTACTTAAAATGAGATTCCAAAATAGGTCATAGAAACTGCTTCACCGCTTCCATTGAACTTTCATCTTCGACGATTAAATAGAAAATCTTTAGAAAATTAATCATTTTTTGCAATCACGCTTTTCTATACATATATTTATTTCTATCTCCCGTCTTTTTATTACATAATTTCCATTTCAATTTTAATTTGAAATTTCTATCAAATTTTAATTAAAAATCAACGTTAACGTTGACATCGGCTCGTAATAGGGATTATATTATCCATCTTAAAATCGCATAAATTTGAGATCGATGTAGATCATAGAGAAAGATAACGAGAGAGAGAGAGAGAGAGAGAGAGAGAGAGAGAGAAGGAGATGTATGCAATAGACCAATTAGGTATCAATAGAATGCAACATCCCAGATGGCTTCGCTGTAAATAACAGCAAGCGATATTGAAGCTTGTTGCAAGACTGACAGACAAGCGCAGGATGATCCTGACATCAGTCTAGAATCTCTAGGGTATTCTACAGGAATAACGTTATCGAATATAAGACCAAACTATCTACGGATAATTGCTTGTTATTGGAAACAAAGATTAACTTAACAGTTACCTAGGTATATACTACAATAGGGTGAAATATTATTATAGCTTTAATACTCGAATGAATTTTCAATTGGTTCTATAACAAATAAAAAAAAATAAGTGTAATACAATTATTATATTATCAAATATATTTATTATTATTCTATACGTTACCGTAAGTGTACAAATCGATTAATTCATGAAATGAAAATTTCATATTTTGCACGAAATAACTAAGCGTTGTAGGGAAAGCATTAATGGATTTCGTGTTTTAACGATAATGGATATATATTAAATGCATTTCTTTTTTTTTTAATATTTGTAAATCATATTGAGAGATAAAATTGTTACTATATACTTTAGATTCTCTCTTAATGAATAAAACGAAAAGAGAAATCTGTTTGTTATTATTTTTCTGAAACCGAAAAATAAAATAAACAGAAGAAAACAAAAAAATAAATAAATATTATAACAGTAATTATAAATTAAATGTTGTTTCGTGGAATAGAAAATCAGTTCGGAGATCGACATACTCAGACTTTCACGATTATCTCCACTCGATGAACTTTTAATTGGAGAATTCCGTGAATAAATTCAACGAACGAACTTCATGAGTGAAGCTAATTAAAGGAACTCCGTAAGTAGATATATCTAATCAACCCCATCGAATTTTCTATGTACAAAGAAACGAGAAAGAAAGGAATATAATTCTACTGAAATGAACTATAGTTATAATAAGATAAACGGGAAACTATGCATTATATATACACTGGCTTTGACAAACGCAATACTCACACATTCACAATTTTGATTGCACAGCGCATTTCCATTTTGTTTTATATAAATGATAACTCTTAACTGTGTTAAGAAAATTAGTTTCTCAGTTATTCCAATTAAAAATAACTATTCTGTAGATATTCGCTATTAAATGAACGTCGTAACCGTGAAACATATTTCAGGAAATATATTATATATATATATTGCACACACACATATGTATCTCTTCTATCTTTTTTCACACTTTACCTTGAATATTTTTCTCGTACGGTTGAAACGATAAGAAACACGAAAGGCATACTAGGAAAAGTTCAACATCAAAAGTGTAGATCCATGAAGTTAATAAAACAAAACAAAATACGCGCTTACTTATTTATAATTTTGTGCAAATACAAAATCATTGAATAGAAAATCTAAATAAAAATATATAAGTATAACCAGTTTGCAAAGCATTTACGCAAAAAATAATCATAGATTTATTTCGATATCTGAAATGAGACCATTTTCGATATCACAATTGTTACGCAATTATTTTCATTAAGAAACTCGTTGAATAGGGGGAAAAGACGTTATAAGATTGAAGGATTATTTTTCATGACCTATAAACGACAACGGCTCTTCAAATATGTATTTAGGATGAATTTGAATGTGCAGCATGCTAACGAAGTAGTGGTTATTATGATCACAATGATATTAGCATCGATATCGATAGTTACAGCGATCGTAAAGTAAATAATTACAAAGGCTCGTAAAACAATAGCATACTTCCGTGTAAACTGTTGTTCTACTAGATTCACAACATTCTCCAGAGAGAAATATAAACGCTTGGCAGTGCGAATGAATATCGATCAATATAAATTAATAATATTATCGGTTAACGATGCGATTTATTTAACTCTTCGAAATATGCTGAAAATCGAGACACCTGATTGATCTTTAATTACATCGAATAAATATATATGCATAATTAAATTAAATTAATTACAAATGAAATTACATGCTCGATGCATTCAAAAGTTAATTATTTTTATAAGCATTACGATCGTTTATTAATTATTACGTTTATATTTCACTTATTATACAAATTATCATAAATATCATACGAAAACATTTTGCTCTAATAAAGATTCATCGAAGTTCACAAGAACGGTCATAGGTCGCGAATTCCCTTCATCTTCCCTATCTTTCTTTAAAGGGTCATGCTCAAGTCATCTGATGAAAAATAAAAGTGATTTTTCAACATTTTTTTCTGTTTAAACCATAAATTATGAATTAATCATACTTACAAGGGCTCCATCAGACCTTCAAAACACCGACTTTTTTTTTAACTCTACACAGTTGTAGGGATTCATTAGGACCACATACACTGTGCAAGCAGCAAAACTCAGAAGAAATATTATATACATTATTATATACCAGTAATAAACGCGACGAAGGGTTGAAAAGTTTAAATCCTAATACACAAGAGGAACTAAAAAGTTTTGAGATGAGAGATAATACTTCTTAGAAACTACAAAAAAAGAAAAAAAATCGATTTTTTCAAAATTCTAACTGAACATGACCCCTTTAAAACGAAAATCGCTTGTCTTTGTCCCATCCTTTCATTCTATTCTAGATCATTCTATTGACAATAACGAAGAAGGATTATCTTCAGTAATACGAAAATGACGTTCGTATACTCGACAAAATCCTTCTATTCGTAGCTTACCAAGGAAGAAAATGGAATCTATTGTACTTGTGTATGAGATACTTATATACATGCTATCAAATGTCTAAATAAATAATTCAGTTAAATTTACATAAAAATTTTCGAATAATTAAAGGATGAAAATAACGATACACGTGTTCCATCATAAATAAAGAGTATTACAAAATTAAATATTATTCACATACGAATCAATTAAACATAATTATCTGTCCAAAAATTATGTTAATTTCGTATGTCTTCAATAAACATTATCACGATAGCAAGTAACATAATTCCTAAGTATCCTGGAAATATTATAGTTACTTAGGATAGATGTGCCATCATATAAATAAAGAGAATTATGAAATTAAATATTATTCAAATACGAATCAATCAAATATAATTATCTATCCGAAAAGTATGTTAATTTCGTATGTCTTCAATAAACATTATCACGATAGCAAGTAACATAATTCCTGAATATCCTGAAAATACTATGGTAACTTAGGATAGGTAAGAACGTGTACCTAATGTGTCTGTGAAATATGTAGGTGCACGTGTATAAACGGGCCTTCCTGTTTCCTACTACTTGTAATTTATCACGTAACGTCGTTCGCTTCGCTAAAGAAAGACAATAAACAAAGACTGTTCTAAGGTAAGAGGAGAATGAGAAGATGGAAAAGGGTAAAGAAGGAGGAGGAGGATGAGGAATAGAGGGAGGTGGAGGAGGAGAAGTAGAGGGACCACTGACCCAGATATTGGGCACTCATTGATTTATGCACGCCGCTTTTCCACTCGCTTAAGCAGAGATCCGTGTCCTGGCTTAGAAAACGCCCAGAACACTCGATCTCGACTTCGATCGGCTACATGGAGGGATGAGGGGGAAGGGGGTGGTGGTGGATAGAGAAGGATCGAGGGGTAGGGGCAAAAGAAGAAAAAAAGTATGGTTCCTACTTTGGAAAAAATGTTCACCTCGTTGCGATAAGCTCTACTCTTCGAATCGATTTTTCCTATTCGTTCGACGACTCTTCAAAATGTCGAGAATGTTAAATCAAGGACATACAAACTCATCTACGTAAATTAACGCTTAAAGTAGACGTTGATTTTAATATAATAATCTCGATTGTTCTTAACGCGAATAAATTTTTTGTTCTAAATCCAATAAATACGGGATAGAGGAAAAAAAAATTAAGAGGAAATTTCGATTTAATAAATATAGAAATACGAATTAGAATGTAATCGTCTCTCCCATAAAAGGTAATATAGGAAAAAAATTCAAGATTTCTAATCGAATTAATTCCACTTATTTAACGACATTTTTATACGTATACCACCTATACGTCTACTTATTTACATACCTACAACGTCGTTGTAGTTTAAACGCAAAAAATAATTCTCATGGCAAACTGCAAAGAAAAAAACTATTACATGAAAAGACGAATAAGAAAAGGAAGGAAGAATAAAGAAAATCGTGGAAATTCATGACGCGTGAAGCCCTGAAGTTTAAATCGTCATTTTTTGCCGTCTTTGTTCCCAAAGGACTAAGGGAACATATCTTGTAAGAAAATTTCAAAAAAAAACGTGTTCGAGAGAGAATAACCTAATATTTTTATGAATGTTTTATGTTTTTTAAGCGAACCCTCTTGTATACATATATCTATCTGTATGTACAATATATGTATGTACCTTGCGTTAATGTATTTGTTATTTAATATCTTCGTTCTCTCGTGCGTCCTTGTTTTTTCTTGTTGTTGAAAAAAAAAATTTCTTTATAAATAAAATAAAACAGGAAGATGATGAAGCGCGTAAAGTAAAGCGAAAAATTTTTTTTAGAGGAGTAACGTAAAAATCTTCCCGAGAGTTAATTCAAAATACAAGGAAGCAACCAAGAAAAAAAAAAAAAGAAAGAAATAACTCTCGGAATATATAACATCACTTGTTGCATATAGGTAACCATAATAAAAAAAAGAAAAGAAAAAAAGAAAGAGTAGCAGTTTTACGCCCAGAGGTATAATACTGCATTTTAAAAGCATTTCAGAAAAAGAATAAACGTGCAATTACAAAATAAAATGAAGAAATAACCTATGAAAATAATTCGTCTAACAAGAAATGAAAAAGTATATCGGATGAGTGAATTGAAAATAAAGAAATCTTTTCATCTTTCATATATCTTGTGAGAAATTAAAATCCTAGACATTACCTCTCAGTTCGCTACTTTTCCATATTTCTATGACGTGTACGTGCGGTACACATCAAATCCTTTGTACTACTTCTTCTCTAACTCTTGAACCATAAATTATATAAAGAAAAATTATATTTACTGTAAGTTTTTTTTTTTTTATTTTTATCGACAAAGAAAAATAAAAGACATGTTCTCGTAAAAATAATGATTTCTCATTTCACAGGCTTTCGAGGAACTCGAAGAATTACTAACGAAGAATAATATTTGCATCGCAGTTAAAGAGAAATTAGTTAAAGATTCTGGAGTGGCGGAAGAAACGGCTTATGATACTATTGTTTCTAAACTACTTACTAAACCACGTGCTAAAGGTAAGAAAATTCATTTGCTCAAAATATGGCAAAGAATTAATCGCTATTTATGAAACTAACAATGAGTAAACTGATTTCGTAATATAATATCTATGATAAAAGTAATTTCATGAATATACACCGTTTATAAAATATACGTGTGTACATGTACGGCGTATAAAATGTTGCGAATGCATACAAAAATGAAATAGAAACAAAAATTATCTTACATTGTAGAAGGAAAAGAGAGAAGGGACTATTCGATATTTAAGATAATCAACTCGAATTAATTTAATGTTCCCGTATAAATATAAAGTTAAAATTGTAATAAGCCCAAAAAAGAGAGAGAAGTTTTAAATAACTTTCACGTACGACTTCTTCCTATCCTTTGATTGCAGCTCCTTGAAATTCAACTTCTACTTCGGCATAGTTAGTTAGCTTCATACACGAGGCAAATACAAAAGTTCATTTGCGTTGAGGAAAAAAAAAAAGTTATTCGTTAAAGGGAATAAAATTTTCTTTTATTTCTCGCGCGTCATCGTTTTATTTAAAAATACTACTGCCCATGGAATAAATTCAATTCGATAATTCATCTCGTTAAAATTTAACTCGTATTTTATGAAAGCGAGTGTATTATACCGTAGCTTGTGCATAAATTAAAAGATACAAAAACCGGATGCGTTATATAACTTTAGAAAATGAAAATGGTAATAATTTTCAATGTTCACAAAACTGGACGGATAGAGAAGCGGAATGGCGCAAAGTTAGAGAAGAAAGGAAAAAAATAAACATAAAAAAGACTAATGGAGCAGAGAAAAGATATCGTAAGGATGAGCCTGTATATATATATATATATATAAACAAACAAAAAAAATAACGTTTCTACAGAAATAAATAGCTCGGACTATCCCATTGCGCCCCATACTCTCATTTTACTTAAGCAAAATGAAAATATACGCATATTAATGACTAAAACGAAACAAACAAAACAACTAATGTTTCTCGTTACATAGCAAAAAGAAAAAAATATCACGAAGTTTTAATATATAATATTAACAATACGTTTCGTGTTATACAAAAAAAAAAAAAAAAAAAAAAAGAAAAATTTTGAATAGTAGACAAAAAATACAACTCTGATGAATATTCTGTATGAATAGATAAATCGAAAGAACAAAAAAACACAAATTTTCAAAAGTTAATTTACTTATTCGTTGTAAAAAGTAACTACAAAAAGGACATAGGTGTATTAATTTTCAGACACTGATAATCCTGAAATATTGCGCGAATAAATAAGATATACGAGGTATTTTAAAATTGGCTCGTGTATTCCATAAAACAGAGGACACGTTCGCAGCATCGATGTTGGGCTCCGTTAACCAGTGGGCTAGATTCCCGCTGGAATTCAAATAATAAAGGATCATCCCATACATATATTTTGCAAAAACATTCTCACTTATTTTTCTCTAACATCCCGTGTTTAATTAATTATTAATGCTATGCGTTTAAACTTTGGAGAAAATAATCCGATAAACGAATATCCGATAAATGTAAACTACTCCTAACATGAAATATAAATAGACTTTTCAAGGCATCTAACTCGCGCTAAAAATCTAATAAAGTTATTAAATTCGAACTGTACTAACTACATTACATATCCTTTATCGCACAACTATGCGTCACATGTAAAATGTTATAAAACTATAAAATTAATTATTATATATATATATATAAATGCATTTTACATAAATTTACAAACTTTATCAATAAATCAAGACCGGCACGTACAAATTCTAGCTCTACCCACAACTGTACTAATTATATTATACAACTTGACGCGACATAACACCAATAGTATAAGTTATTAGAAATGTCAAGAAGAAACAAACGAGGCGACATGACGCGTTCAATTTAACGCACATATCACATATTTTGATATAAAAACTTAAAAGAAATCTAGAAAAATGATACATAGATAAATAGATAGATAGATGTTAAGAAAAAAAAAAAGTATGTTTTTTATTTTTTTTCAAACAGGTTGTATAATATTTGGATCGGATCAAGAAGTAGCAGGAGTTATGAGAGCTGTCAGACGATGCAACGCGACCGGTTCATTTTCTTGGATAGGCAGCGATGGATGGAGCGCACGAGGTTTGGTGAGCAATGGTAATGAAGCAGAAGTTGAAGGTACACTTTCTGTTCAACCCCAAGCGAATCCTGTCATGGGTTTTGAGGAATACTTCCTAAATCTCACTGTCGAAAACAACAAGCGAAACCCTTGGTTCGTCGGTAAGTGAAAGTTAGGCAGGGATATGTATATATATATACCCCCCGTCAAACATTTCCCAGGCAACTCTTTAAAACAAAATAACTTTACGTGCTATCACGGTATGTGTATATGTAACCCAGGTCTGCATTTATCGTTTCATTCCTTTTCGTGTTACGTCTGTGCGGCTGCGTGACGACTGACGTATGCCGCGTACTTTTAATTAACGAAAACTTCTTCCTCCTCCCCCTCCTACTCCTCCTCCTCCTCCTCTTCTTTTATCTATCTTTCTTTATTCTCTCCAAAAATTATATTCATTTATATCATCGTTATAATATCATTACCATTTTTTATATCATTTCATTTTTAATATTATACACAATTATTCAATTAGTTGTTTCTCTCGTCCAAAAATAAAATTATTAATAAATAGGTATCTTAGGGAATTTGGACATTCAAAATAAATAGAACTTCGTTTTGATAACTTATCTATTTTCCGTTCTATTTCTTTTGAATGTCCAAATTCCCTAAGATACCCCCCTATTTATTAATACACAATTATTTTCTACTTTTATTTTTTATTACCCGATGTAGGAGGAGAGGTATTTTTATAAATCAATAAAAAAAAAAGCATTTTATCATCGATTCCCTTTCGACGTTTTAGAATTTTGGGAAGATCACTTTCAATGCCGTTACCCAAACTCTACATTAACGCCACACAATCAAAAATATACGAAACCTTGTAGCACCAAAGAACGACTTACCAAAGAGAACACAGTTTTCGAGGATCAATTGCAATTCGTATCAGATGCGGTAATGGCTTTTGCCCATGCATTCAGGTACGAGATAATTAAATGTGATTAATCAAATAAGACGAAAAGGTTGAATAAAAAGGAAAAAAAAAGTACTATTCTATTTCACAGAGACATGCATAGAGATCTTTGCGGTAACAAAACTGGATTGTGTTCTACAATGAAACCGACCGAAGGTACAAAGCTTTTGGAGTATCTACGGAAAGTGCAATTCAAAGGTGAGCAATTATGTTGCTTTCAAAGAAAGGCAATTCATTAAACGCAATTGGTTTCCCATTAGCATTGGTAACACACAATGATTCGATTTAGTGAATTCAAACATGTATCTAATTACTTGAATTAGCCAATATTTGAAATGTTCTATATTTTATATTTAATTAAACAATATAGAATAATAGTATTGTATGTTATTCAATTGATCGATATAAATAAATGTTCAAATTATTAAATAAAAAATAATAAAAATATATTATTATTTATTTAGATATTGTATAAAATATTATAAATGTTAATATTATTTCATTTGGCCAAGCTAGTATGATAAAAAAAAGAAACAATAATTTCTGAATAATATGATACATCCTTCCAATATATCTATTTTTTTTTTCAAAGGTTTGAGCGGCGATGAATTTCGTTTCGATGAAAACGGCGATGGCCCGGCAAGATATAATATCATACATTTCAAACAAACCGAACCTGGCGTCTACAAGTGGATACGCGTTGGCAAATATCTCGAGGGAGTTCTACATTTAAACATGTCTAGTAAGCTACCATTGCAAAAGATTCCAGAGAACATTCTCAATTTGCTATTTCTTTAGGAACACCGTACACATTGGATACAGTGTGCTTGTTCATGTATTTGTTCCAGTGGTTCAATTTAAGCTGGGACACAATCAGACACCTGAAAGCGTTTGTTCCTTGCCATGCGAAGTAGGCCAAGCGAAAAAATATGTTGAAGGTGAAAGTTGCTGTTGGCATTGTTTTAATTGTTCTCAATATCAGGTAACTCAATATTTACAAGGATAAGAAAGATTTACATTAATTTCTCCTTCTAAACGTATCAAAAGAAAAAAAAAAAAAAAAGAATCTTAAATCAAAATGTTAACAAAATATTGAAGATAAATTGTTTTGTTCTAAACAGATTAGACACCCAGACGATGAAACGCAATGCAAGAATTGTCAACAGGGAACAATACCAGACGAAACTCATTCTACCTGTAGCGAAATACCCGAAGAATTCTTGAGACTCGAAAGTGGCTGGGCTATTGGTGCTATGTCCTTCTCTGCTGTTGGAATACTAGTAAATATATATTTTACAAGCTATTCGCGATAAAATGAAAAATAATGTTTAGCAATAAACTATTTAAAGGAAGTAGCTTGATGGATCAAGAAACGTTTCGAAAAAGATATTGAATTTTTGTTGGCATTTTTTAAGGTAACTTTATTCGTCTGCGGTGTATTCCTAAAACATAACGACACGCCTGTCGTTCGTGCTTCTGGCCGAGAGCTATCTTACGTCCTTCTTACTGGAATCTTACTTTGCTATCTCGTCACGTTTGCTCTCGTACTCAGACCAACCGATATTGTTTGCAGTATTCAAAGGTGAGTTATCTCTTAAGCATTTTCTCTACGCTATCCGACCTACGAATATAATATTTGTTTTTTTTTTTTTTTTAAATCTACAAATATATGATCTTTCATTTGAACGTAAATATCGATTTTCATTCTAACCGATTATTTTCTACAGATTCAGTGCTGGATTTTGCTTTACCGTAGTCTATGCAGCACTTTTGACGAAAACTAATCGAATATCGAGGATCTTTAACGCTGGAAAACACAGCGCTAAAAGACCGTCGTTTATATCACCAAATTCTCAATTGATCATTTGTTCCGGTTTAGTAGGAGTACAGATACTCATTAACGTTGTTTGGATTGTTATCGATCCAGCTAAAGCTATGCATCACTACCCCACGAAAGAGGATAATTTGCTTGTTTGCAATAGCTACATCGATGCTAGCTATATGATTGCTTTTGCATATCCTATTATATTGATAGTTGTTTGCACTATTTATGCGATACTCACGAGAAAAATTCCTGAAGCCTTTAACGAAAGCAAATACATTGGTAAGTAAATGATAATAATCTAGAACAAATACTTATTAACTTATTCTCTTATATGAATACAAATTTGTGTGTGCGCTAATTTATTAAGAAAAAATATTTATTATTATTAAATTATATATCTTTATAAATACACTAATATAATATTCATTTTTCAATTAGACATTATGCGTAAATTGACTTATTTATTATTAACATAGACGTTGAATGCCATGCTAATTTCGCATGGCTTGCCCGTGGGACCAACACGATTTCGTCATTATGCGTTACATATTATATTGAAATATTATTTAGAACAGATAAGTTAAAGTGTATAATAATGTGCAAAGCATTTATCTTACCGAGGGTTCAGCGATGAACCCGCCAGGCGTTACGAACAAACTTTTAATGCCGATCATCGGTTGTCCCCATGGCATTCGACGTGTTAATTATTTTTTTAAAATATACTCTATACATATAAATTACTCAATTAAGGTTAACCCCGCACAACATGTATTATAAATGAAGTATGTGAATTACATAATAATAATAATTTAATTAGGCTTTACTATGTATACTACCTGCGTTATATGGCTAGCCTTTGTTCCACTTTATTTTGGTACTGGCAATCACGTTGCATTGAGGATTACTTCGATGTCAGTTACCATCAGTCTTTCTGCTTCTTTGACTATTGCTTGTCTGTTCACACCAAAGGTAAAGAAAAAATAACAATAAAAAAATATATCTATATAAATATAATTTCCAAAAGAGTATCCTTAAATAAATCGATCGAATTTATCTAAATCTAAAAACTTTATTTATTTACAGTTGTATATTATTTTAATTCGACCGGATAGAAACGTACGACAGAATATAATGCCACCGAGACCTTACAACACTACCAAAAGTTCAGCTGTAACTGGAACGAATGCTTCGAGCATGATGGCTCCTGTTACATTGACCGCCGTAACTTGTGATCAAAACAAAGCCGTGAAGAAACATATCATCAAAACTACAGACTGTTCCACGCAAAGTGAATGTAAGCAGCATTCGTTAATTGCATTTTTTTTGTTATCTAAGCGAATAGATTTTTGTTAATATTCCTTGTATATCTAAATAAAAATAATATATAAATTAAATGTAAATTATATTAACAAATAATTTAATGTTTTTCAAGATTACGAGTTGGAATTGAAAGAACGAAAGAACGGAAAATCAGCTCCCACGTTAATTTCACGCGGAACCCAAACCCAATCGAATAACAACGAAAAGGAAACGAACGTCGACGTTCACCGTGTTGACAAAGAATCAAAAGAAAATGCGACTACAACGAGGCAAATAAATAATACGAAAATAGTAAACGGACCTGTCAATCAAAACGACGTTACTTTATAGCAAAATGATATTATCATTGAAACGTCAATCATTACGGCTAATTTAAAACCGATCTCGAAGAAGCCTGTAATTGTATAAGCAACCAAAACAAAATACTTTTGCAAGTACATTATTGTAAAACTCTAAATATTGTTATAAAATATTAAATTATATAACGAGCAATTTTTTTATTACTTGTTTAGATAAATTCTAAAAAAAAATGTCGTATAATACATTGTATCAAATGACGGACGAAATTTACATCCTTCAATTTTCAACTAAATATAAAAAAAAAAATAAATATATAATATATATATTTAACATCTATTGAATATCATTAGTCGAAAAGAAATTTGAATGAAACTGATAAATAGAACGAGTCTTCTATTAGATAAAGAGAATCTGTAGATTCTTCATTAAAAAGAAAGAAAATATTTCATGGACCATAGAGGAAAAGTGGAAAAAAAACATGTGTAAATACAAAAAGGAAATAAATCTACTAATTGATGTTTCATCGTACAGTGTTTAAAAGGTGACTGTGATGATGTATGGACGTGCAAATATAGTATGTAATACGTACATTACATCAAACGATTAGATGTGAGGCGTTTGTAAATCGCCGAACTAATTTTCAAAATCTATATCAATCTAATAATAACAACAAAAATAATTTAAAGAATTAAATAGATCGAAATTACTAATAATAATTATAATATAATAATAATGATATTAATAATAATAATAATAATAATAATAGTACTAATAATAATAATAATAATAATAATAATCGAACTATATCGCGTTATTACCATTTGGTGTCAATTACAGCGAGTAAATTGATTTACACATGTGATNTAATAATAATAATAATAATAATAGTACTAATAATAATAATAATAATAATAATAATAATAATAATAATAATAATACGAAGTTACACTTTCGAAGAGATCGATGCTCTAAGTTGCTCTGTGATTTAGACGTAACTAAATAAAATTTTGTATCTCTTCTATGTATATAATATATAAGAGAAAATCTTCTCTCGTATACACCACGATTCATGCCATAATATATCACTTGCACAATTATGTTAAAATTATCGAGAGAAATTATCTTTGTAAATATTTGACGATATTTAGTCGAATTGATTGATTTATATTAATCAATAAAAAAAAAGAGAGAGAGAGAAATGAAAAAGGAATAAAACATATACATAGATAATGTTGCCAAAAAAACTTAAAATATACAATAATTATATAATTATAGTATATTTCTTTGAAAAATAATTGTAACATTTGTATAAACTAATATTTCCTGTGCCATATTTACGGCAATAAAGATCTATTGTACTCACTTTCTGTACATATATATAAAAAAAAAAAAAGAAAAAAACACTTTGTATATAACATATACATACATGTAATATCATCTATAAATCGATGTTAACATTTAAAAAATTCAAAATATTATACTCTGACTTAGAATACAAATATGCTTATTCTTATCAGAGTTATCTGCTATCACACAATAGCAAAGAAATAATTTGAAAAAAGTGATCTATAACGTAACAAGCATTGATCTTTCCCACATTTTTTTTCTTAACATTGTAAAAGTTTAGAAAGAAATATATTCGTCATAGAAAATAAAAAAAAAAGAAAATCAAAAGATAATTTGTACATACGTGTGATAAGCTCATTATCATTAGATCTTACGAAATATTTCTAATTCGTAATGCGCGAACAAAGATCAAATTTTAATTATACTTTTAATCGTGCACATATTTACATATGTATGCATGCATTATGTATGTATGTATGTATGTATTTATGTATGTATGTACGTATACATGTATATCGAAAGAATTTTTATTCACAAAGCTTGTTACTTTGAATTCGCTTTACAACGAATCCTCAAAGCAAATCGATTCATATTTCTGTGATTTCGTTACGTTTATCTGAAACTTTACGAATTAAAAAAAAATAAAGATATATATAAGAAGAAAAAAAAGAGAGAAAGACGAATGATGTAAGTGCGCATGTTTCTGAAAGAAAAAAATAAATAAATAAAACGAATAAGTTAACAAACAAATTCATTTTCTTTTTTCTTTTTGGCGTCAGAGATTATCATTTTATTTAAATTTTATCTAAAGATTTGTCTAACGAAACGATTTAAACGAGAGATTAAAGAATCGTTACTCTTACAATATAGTTTTTATTTATTATACGTACACACGAAAAATGTTGCAATTTACAATAATATATATACATCTATATATATATATATATGTGTGTATATATATATATATATATATATAGATGTGTGTGTATATGTATATGAAACGCTTTAAATATGAAATTCATTTGTTAAAAGGACAAAGTTTATACATTATAGAGAGCAGAAAGTAGCTTTTTAGCGAAGTAGAGATAAACAGACGAAGAAAATTCCCCGTACATATATTTTTTCCTCTAATTTGATCACCCTAATTTGTTCTGGGATCACCCCAATTTCTTCGACGTCGACCGATCAACCTCAGTTCGCGAAGTAGATGATCCTGAAAATGCTGTTGAAGATCCTGAAAATGCTCCTGTAGATCCTGAAAATGCTCCTGTAGATCCTGAAAATGCCCCTGTAGGTCCTGAAAATGCCGATCAGGCTTATGGTTTGTCATGTTTCTTTAATAAATATACAACGTTAAGAGAGAGTTAAAGAAGATCAAAAGAAATAAAAACAAAAAGAGAATATAAAAGTATTTTGAAAACAAACTTCGAGTATTAAAGAATGGCTTGCAATATTATGGTTCATAACCCAATTAAATCATGAAATAATAAACAGCACCTTTTCCTTAGTTCATCAGCACTATCGTTAATAAGAAAACTAATATTGACTATTGATAAGACTATAATATTAATCAAATGTATAGAATATGCAATACAATGATTTGCAAAGATTAGAAATAAAAGAAGACCATAAGAAAGCCAAAGTCTACTTCAAACTTTTTTCTCTATAATCATCCTCTAAATTTTTTCCCAAACACAAATCTATTTTAATATCGACATCTACGTCAATCAAATAATGACAAAACTTATTCTTTGAGATTAGTAACTATTCATTCTGTGGACGTAAAGGAGAGGCACCAAGGGATTAGAGAAATAGAAAAGCCTCACTAAAATAAATTAATTTTTATTCCATTAGCAATTACAACGCTTTTAAAATTATACTGACATTCGTATTAGCTAAACTACATCAATGGTGTTAAGGTGTTAACCTTCTGAATATAAAATCTTTAGTCAGAAACTATTTGCTCATTTAATCACGCTTTTTTCTTCAAACATTAAACAATTTAACAACTTCGTGTTTGTATCAAAATTTTTCATTAAAAAAGGAGGCATCTTGATATGACCGAAAGAATACTAATCAATTATTGCTATTATTGTTGCAATTATTGTTATTATTAATAACAATATATAATATTAGATATGGACTAAAAATTCTACCAATCTAAACAAGCTTTCGTCTGGATATAAAAATGCTATATATATATATATGTACATATTAATGAAATGTACACAATTTCTAAACATTTTAAATTCCATGGAATATATTCTGTATGCCCAATAAAAAGAAATGTCATAGATTAAAAACATAAATAAACATGACCATGTTCACCACTAGACTTGTGCCATTAACTAGACAACAAGCAAACTAATTCATTGACTTCCCAACTAATTCATTATTACATACATTTGTATTAGGGCTGTTTAAGAACCAAAAATGAAAATTTAAATATTTTTTTGACTTCATAGAAACCAATTGCCAACTTTGTCGAAATAAAACATGCAAACCAAGAAATGAATTTCATAAAAAATACTTCACTATCAACGAGTCCATCATTATACACTATTAAATAAACTTTCGATGTATATATCTTGTATATAAAATCCTTCTCCTATCATATCATTACAACTTCTTTCGGCAGTATTTGCATACTTTCTTTTTTCTTTTTTTATAATGAATCCCACGTAGCATGTATAGATCTTATTTATTCATATTAGTCCATGAATCTATATTATTATATATTTTGTTATTATATATGAATAATTTGAAACTTTTTCAATAACAATATTGCACTTCATTAATAAATTCACCCCCTTATTTAAATTCTTCTATTTCGATCTTAAATTAAATTACTTTATAAAATTAAGAATTTTAACAAACCTCTGGGTATTTTTATAAAAAGCAAAATTTATAAATTTAGATTAATATTACAAATGTGTAATTATAGTCCACACAAATTTGATTTTTGACTATGCACATGTATATATTCAAGATTTTGTACGTGTATCTTTCTAAGCTTTTAGTTTCTCTCATTTATCCATTCCATAAATATAACAATAACTATTCATAATAAGAAATAGAACCTCTCTCACTCTCTCTCTCTCATTCTCATTCTCATTCATTCTCTCTCTCTCTCTCTCTCTCTCTCTCTCTCTCTCTCTCTCTCTCTCTTCAAAATTTAAAATATTTATTTTAAATGATAAAAAATTATTGCATTTTATAATAATAAATATAAATTTAAATAGAATTTGCAAAATAAATTTTGCACAGAGCACATAATATATCCTACAACCCTATCACAAGAAAATCATCCGTTGTATACAAGTCGATAAATAACTTTAGGTTTTCCAAAACTTACCGCTGCCTCTGATACCTTTCACTTTCTGTTGCTTTTTCTTTAGATCCGGTAAGGCTTCTCTACCAGATTCGCTTCCACCCGCACTAGAATTGCCTCCAGCTACGTCAGCTTCTTGCACTCCACCACCACCGGCTTGTGCAGCAAGAGACTTCTTTATATTGGTAATCTGTCAAATATTACCAAAGACATTTAATAGAATTATACAAATTCCTTATTTATTTAAACAAGAATGTTTAATATATTAAAAATATTACTTACATCCCGTTGTATTCTTTCTTTGTGAAAAGTGGCTTTTTGTTTTTCTACATTGGCATGAGTTACTTGTTCTTCTATACAGGCTAAAACAGCATCGCAAGCTTGTCCCCAAGCAGATAAAGTTTCCGCAACTACTCCTGTATCACCGGGTCTAACATCACGTCCTAAACCAGCATAATCTACTTCCAACTGAGAATTCTTTTGGTCTAATTTACCATGTATTATGTCCGCATAAATAGCTTCTATTATCAGATCCTCTAAATCCCTGACATTTTTTATATCAAGTTCTTCGAGCAAGATCGAATAAGGTATGCATTTAGACTTAGTCGCAAGAGTCACAATTGTAAGATGCTGAAGCTTCTTCTTTTGTGTTGGAGTCAATTCCAGGACTTTATCCTTATTTTCTAAATATTGCTTATATGTACCATATGCAAATAAATTCAATGTATTCCAGTATTGAACATATGGACCGCTCTCCAATTCCTTAATATTTGGCATATCCAATAATTCACCGAACACATGAACTCCCGGTGTTTCTACAGCTTGACGTATTAATTCTAAGGCCGCTGCACCTTTAGCTGTCTTGGCAAGCAGCACGAACTGTTCCAAAGGATTACTTGTTGACTTTTCAGTGGACGTACCACCAGTCATCTTGAATCTATATAAAAAAAAAACATTTATTACAATTTTCATTAGCATTTACATTATCTATGTATGATAAAAAAACACAAGAAAAAATTGTTCTTTCTTTTTATTAATAACTTAAATATTAAAATAACCTATTAAAATCATAAACAAAAGAAATTTAAATGAAAACAAGTATTTCGTTGTATATAATACAATACATGCATATACAAGGTACACATTATAAGACTCGAATATTAAAGGTTAGGTAATGTGCGTTTTCTACTTATTCGTATATATGAACTTATAATTATTACATTTTTATTAAATAATAATCTAGAATTAAAATTATATATAATATTATAAATATTAAACATACATTGTGTAGTTAAATGTCAGAAAATACGACCAAAAATTTCAACACTTATTCACTCTTTCCATAGATGCGCAAATTCATTGCGCATGGATTAACCTTACTTAACAACATATACAAAAATACATACGTGAATTTTACATCTTTCGAAAAATAGTATAAATACAAAATTATAGAAATTTTTTGTATAAAAGAAGAATTAAATAATGAGAATGATTCTAAATATATTACATGCGTCATTTTAAAAAGCAAGAAAAATTTATATTTTATTTCAAAATTTTTACCTTCTTCCTTTATCTCGCAATGGTATGACACTTTTAAAATTTTGATTATTAACCAAATAACAAACAAACAGTGCCACCAATTGGCGGTAAAATTAAAAACTAAATTTTACATATTTCCTTTCTTTAAATTAAATTTTATACATATAGAAATAATATTCTTTAAATATTGGGAAAAATTTGTCATTTTTAATAACAAATTTTAACAATTTTCAACCATTCAATTATTCTTATTCGATTAAAATAATAATTTCACTAAGTACAATGTTTTTTATTATTATTAATATTATAAGCCAACCTTAAATTTAAAATTTCTATTTACACACATGTTGTACAATACATTTTTAATATTTAAATACGATAAAAAAAAATGTTAAATATTTTATTTGTATGATTTTAAATAATCTTATCAATTTTATTATGATAAATATATTACATCTATTAATAAACTTACATATTCTTTTGTATCTATGCACATGCACTTTTGCAGAGTTACGTAGGTTGTCAACACTGGAAGACCGAAAGTTGCACTTTCTTCTAACTTCGTTCATAGTATTTGACAGAAAAATGGAGAATCTGTTGTTCTTTGATACTTGTTGAAAACATAATAATTATTATCGTTAACATTTTTTTCTTCTATAGAAAATTTAATATTAATGAAAAATCGTGAAAGAAACCAATTTTGAGATTATATTTCATCGAACAAAACTGTGTGCTTATTAACATTTAACATACACACACACAACACACATACACACATAATACTTTTAAAATGAAGCCTTTAATAGAATTCGAGGAGTGTTTGCGAGACACACCAAAATTTCGGTGAGAATTATATTGTAATTAACCTCATATATTTAAAGAATCATACACATCATTGTTTAAATTACTTGCAACTTTTTGGAATATACAAATATTACTATTGTTCACAAATATATATTGATAATATCCTTGTATAACAGATTTATTTGATTACATTTTTTGTTTTATTAGATCTTGCATAGAAGAAGTTGAGAACAACATAGATATTTTGGAACAAAAACTAGACAAGGTAACAATAAATTTTATCACGTTAATATTACATTCTTTAAAGAAACATAACTTTGAATGATCATTATTTATATATCATAGGTATTAAAGAACTGTAGCACAATGATTGATACTGGAAAAGCTTTTGTCGGACAACAAAGGTATCTTAGCACAGCGTAATGTGTTTGAACATATAACGCTTTATAGATTTCTGTATTTTTACAATATCGTTGCTATAAAATTGATTTAATTTTTCAGTCAATTTGCCAACAGCTTATGGGACTTATCGTTATATTTTAGTAACGATCCTGAAATAATGGCATTTTTAAATAAGTTAATACATTCTATGCAAGAAATGAATAAATTTCACAGTATATTGTTAGATCAAGCATCTAGAACTATCATTAAAGATCTGAATATATTTATGAAAAGGTAAATTTACATGCGTTAATTGTATATTCTTTATTATCAACATAGAACTATTTGTTTAATTTAATTCAATTTAACAGCGATATCAAAAGGGTCAAGGAAACGCGTCATTATTTTGAGAAAATATCTACAGATTTAGACATAGCATTAAACCGCAATTCTCAAGTTCCAAAATCACGACCCACGGAATATGAGGAAACTTCAAACATTTTATCAGCTACTCGATCATGTTTTCGTCATACTGCTCTAGATTACGTTCATGCATTAACGATGATACAAACACGCAAGCGACATGAAATATTGGGCTCTCTGTTAACTTATATGCATGCTTGTATAACTTATTACCATCAAGGTAGCGATCTTGGCCAAGACTTAGATCCATTTTTAAAAGATCTAAGCGAAGATCTTGTTAGAATGAGAGATGACTCAAATAAACTTGAAAAGGAGATGGAGAACAGACATATTTATGTTACTAACAGAGATTTAACTCCTTCGCCTATACTTGGCAATCCAAAAATGGAAGGTTATTTATTTAAAAGAACGAGTAATGCATTTAAAACATGGAACAGAAGATGGTTCTGTTTGAGAGATCATCAACTTGTCTATAGAAAACGAACTGGTGATGACGATTATACTGTCATGGAAGAAGATTTACGTCTTTGTACCGTCAAACCTGTAGTAGATTGCGATAGACGAAACTGCTTTGAAGTACTAAGCCCAACCAAGTAAGTCAATAATCTAATAAATTCTTATTAAATTTCTCTACCATTTCTCATTTCAATATAGAAGTCATATGCTACAAGCTGATAGCGAAGAAGCATACCTAGCATGGGTAACTGCCATGCAACAAGCTATTGGTGCTGCTATTCAACGAGGAATGGGTACTTTATCTACTACTAGTTCGCAAGAACTACAGTTAAGAGATATTAAATGTACACGACCACCACCTAAACCTAAATCGAGGTAAATAATATATTTATAGAATAAAAAACAAAAACATTCTAATATATTACTTTGTTGTTTTAGAGTATGGGAACAGCTATTAAAAATTTCTGGAAATGATATTTGCTGCGATTGCGAAGGATCAAATCCAAGATGGGCTAGTATTAACCTAGGCATTACACTTTGTATAGGTAAATTTCATTTATAAGAAATATAATTGAATTATATCCAAAATATATGCATATATAATCAATGCATATTTTGTTCTTACATATAGAATGTTCTGGTGTACATAGAAGCCTTGGAGTTCATTACAGTAAAGTGCGTTCTTTAACATTAGACGATTGGGAGCCAGAAATATTAAAAGTTATGGCAGAATTAGGTAATACTATAGTAAATAACGTATACGAAGCATTACCAATTCCTCCGAATATGATTAAAGCTACACCAAAGTGTAACAGGTATAACTTTGAAATTTTATTTTTTCTACATTACTATGAAATTTCATTGTAAAAATAATTGTCTTCATTTTTTTAGTAACATACGTGAAGCGTGGATAAGAGCAAAATATGTTGATCGTATGTTCGTAAAACCTCTATCTAATATTATTACAAATGAACATTCACCTAATCAAGAACAAAAACATTTTCGTAAATGGAGTGTTCGTAAACTACGCCGTAGACCACGCAGTTATGATCTTGATTCTTTAAACCGAAATAAGACTATTTTGAATTCTTCCAAGGGAGCTTTGTGTTCAAGTTCAGATGATAGTAAACATACATCAATAGAAAGTTTAAATTCTGTTGAAAAATCAATATCGCAAAAAACTGATACAGTTTCTATAAAGTCTGAGAATTCAAGTACCGATGTAAAAAATAGTTCAACCCTATATACAAAAATATTGACTCCAACGCATAACGATGTTAATGAAAATAACAGTCTCTGCAAAATCATTCATTCGGAGTCATCATCAAGCAACGAAGAAGTACTTAAAACAGATGTTACGAAATTCGAAGAAAGTGTCAATGTATGTGATAATATTACTTCTGATATAAACGATACACCGAACAATAAAAACAATGGTTCGGAAATACAAAAAACTGAGAAGATTATGCTATCCGATGTATTGATGTTTGGTTGTGATTTACCAAAATCAATGATAGATGGTAGTTTAGAATTAAGTTCCGATCAAGATTCAACTGCTGGGGAAGATGAAGAGTTCGTCGATGAAGAAGACATTGAAAATTTACATTCCGAAATGTTACTTTACAAAGCAGCGGCAGCACATAATTTACCTGTTATGTGTGCTGCTTTAGCTGCAGGAGCAGACAAATTGTGGTCAAATTTTAACGATAGAGGCCGTACTGCTTTGCATCAAGCTATAATAAGTGTATGTACAATTAGTTGATTATATTCAATATTTATGTGAACGAATAGTCGAATAATTTTTATTTATCTAGGGTTCTGTAATGTCCTGCGAATACCTTCTATTAAATGGTGCTCGTATCAATTGTCAAGATGCAGATGGAAAAACACCTTTATACTTAGCTACAGAACTAGGTTTGTTATCTAACTATATGTATACAGGGTGGAAAAAAAAATTTGTATGCATTCAATATGTTGTCAAAAGACTCAATTATGCTATCGAATGCTCATAAGTAATAAGAATTAATTTAAAAGGTTGATTTTAGGACATATGTTAATTAGATATTTTTTACTTCTCTTGAATAAACCTTTAAAATATTGGACCCTTTTTTATCACCCTACATAATAAATATATCTAGTAAATATTTAATATATCATTTTAATATATATCACACAGGACATACGGCCCAAGTCTGTTTGCTATTAAAACATCGCGCGGATCAACATATTGAAGATGAAAGTGGTGTAAAGCCTTTGTCGATTGCAGTAAAAGAAGCTAATGCTGATATTGTTACCTTGTAAGTATAAATATATTTCTAAATAAAAATTTGATTTTTATTATTATTATGTGCTTTTTAGGTTACGACTTGGATTGTTAAATGAAGAAATGAAAGATTCTGAAATAGGTGTTACCGGGGATGAAACATTTAATGATGTTGTGCGTGACTTTAGTCAATTAGCTTGTTCGCATCCAGAACGATTACAACGACGAAATGAAAGCAGCAATATTCCACATACACCCGAATGAAAAAAACTGAAGTTCCCAGGTGGAAAGAATGGATATATAAAAAAAACAATTTGTCTTTCAGTTTGCAGGGTAATGCAAGTAAAATATAGAAGAAAGCACGTAAGTATAAATAAAATATAAATGTTTGTATCTCCTACACATTAATAAGAAGAAAGTAACTATGCATAAAAAAGAAACCAATGATGAATGACAAATTAATGAATCGTTTATATTGGTACCTGAGATTTTCAAAGCATGTAAACATAGAAATGGGTATCAAATTTATATAATATCCGAACTATTTTCTTTTTGATTTTGTTTAAATTATAAAAATCAAATATTCTTTTCTTTTTTATAAAAATATAAGAATTTTAAAAAGCACGTGGTCTATCATTTATATATACACATCATGCAGTTAGAGAGTTTGAAAAAAAACCTATCTATCAGTACCTAATATATTGTTAATACTGAAAGTAACGAGTAATTAAAATTGCATTGTATAAATTATTTGTTATTTACCATTTTTGTGCTTAACGATGTAATGATACATAGGATTAAGTTTGATAAATTTACTGTCCTTCTATGTTTGCTATTGATATCATATATAAATGCATAGTTTATATGCATGTTACTATCTTCTAATCTATAGATAGATAAATATATATATATTAAAAAATTATACTGATTATATAGTACAGTATTACATGAAAATGAATTTTATTGATATTTAGTTATAGATATTATTAAGAATAAGAGATCATTATTTGCGCGTTAGGATTATTATTAATTCATAATTCATTTGCATATGAATTAATACATAATCAACCATGTGTGTGCATTCAAAACAAGATGCCAAAAGTTCGCGTACTTGTATACTAAATTATGGATCTGATACTATATTCGAATATTTTAATATAGTCTTTCTTATTAATAAATTCCAATTAAAAATATATCGAACGAAAAAAACCCATACTGTAATAGATATATATATATTGTATGCTCGTATAAGAACGTATATTTGTTAAATGTGTATGTATTTTTTAAAAAGTACTTACATTATTTTAACCATCTAAATCATATAGTAAGATTTTATTGATTACTTTATGATTTATATATTATATCACTTAATTTATATCTTATTTATATATTGAATACTTTGACATTTCTACTATTTGCGATTTTATATTCAAACTGTTACAATAATTTCCATAAAGAATTTCTTCAATTCATTTTTACTAGTAATGCGTACTATTTCGTTTCTTTTTTTTATTTAATTTTTATACTCCATGTATGATACATTTTATGAACATTATGTTAAAATAATATTTTCTAATACAGTATAGATTTGATACAACATTCCTTTAAATTAGAATTCTTTTAAAAAGAACGCTTTGCTATTCGTAATATACGTAATCTAAATTTATAGAAAATATACTAAAAAAATATAATGAAAAATCGACAAAAAATTTTAATTACATCTGAAGGTACGCATCGTATAAAGGTACCTGATATTTTATTACTATGCTCTCAAGTTATGTTATACCTTTACTTTTATTCTATATATTTACTACAAAATGTTTAACATAAAACGCAAACGCGGTTAGTGATAGTTACCTTTTGATTCTATTAAAGTATCGTTATTTTGAAATTTATACAATATAGAAAATCTCTCTAATAGAAAAGATAAAGTAAGAGTAATAACAATAGGTTACTATTATATATAAATAAAGAACATTTGTAGGATCAATGATCCGAAATCTACGGCAGAGTTTGCAGTTTAAAAAAAGAATATATATAGGCCAAAGCCACCATCGTTGTTTCAAAAATATCTTTTTTATCTTTTTACACGAGATAAAAGTTTTCTGTGACGATTTGCACACATTTGACTATTTTATTTATTTATTTATTTTTTTTTTAAATATATATATATAAAACAAAAGCAAACAAAAAAGAAACGAAAAATATATAAGAAAATTATTTTCAATGGCAATAATTATTTCATACACATTATATTATGATTTGTACATTACAAATTCGAAAACAGTCTAATTAAGAAAATATATATGCATATATTTCAATTGAAATCACCGTTCTCGTTATATTAAAAGAAATTTTATGACATTTTATAAACAACAATTATAATTTTGATACGTGACTGATATATTAATGTACACAATCTTCTTCAATGAATGTTGATACTGCCTTTTTGCAAAGATCTGTATTATAAATCTTTATGTATAAACTTGCTGTTACATGGAAACAAACATCTGATAATTTATAATAATAAATATTACGCCTATATATAGATATATATTGACAAACAGATTGTTATTAGTAAGATATAATAATTACTCAGTGTATAATATTGTATACAAACTTCTATAGCCTGTAAAACACGATACAAATTATTAATAATTTTTTTCTTGTTTTTTAATAGTATCTAGTTCATATGGTGATATACAATATACATTCATATACTTAATTATTACGAGTAAAATAAAGATATGAAACTAGATATAATTATTAATATGACTTAACTATTAGTTACATATACCAGTAAGTTTAATTATCAGACCCGTTTCTACATTTTGTGGGGCTCCTGAAAGTTAGTAACAATAATGGAATTTTTAAATGGAAGAATATCTTATTAATTAAAAATTAAATCCAATATGAAAACTTACATTAATACTAAGAAATTAATTAGTTTTCTTTCTTTTTAAATATTTTGGCGCTTTGCGAGGCCCTGTGCCACCGTACAGTTCGCATACCCCCGTTCTTAATTATAATTTTCCGATACTTTAAATGAATATTTTATATCTTACAATTACTTACGATATATATTCTGTTAAATGGTTTAAATAATGCTTTAAATACAACAAATTAAGTTTTCCATATCCTCGATGAAATATTAACAATAAAAATATATTGTCAATCAAAATGAAATAATTGATCATAAATTATATTTTTTTTTAGTATTATGTATTGTTAACATCTGAGATAAATCTGTTATAAATTATGTTCCACTTTGCTCGATGTAACTTACTAATAATTTTAAAATATATTAATATTCGATATTTTTTCATTCGATAATTACTTACTATAATGATCATTTTAAATTAAGAATATACGATTGATTCATATTTTAGCGGGAATTTATCGATACTAGCATATGTATTATATATCGATTCGTCGATATTGTACGATGCGCCATCTAGTGTAAAAATGCAAGACATCTTTTTTTAAATAGAAAATATTTAATAGAATTGTCTTCCTATTATTTAAATTTACAAATAGAAGTCTATCCAAATTTTTTTAGTTAGCCCCCCTCCAATTATTATTACAAGTATTTATTATTATAAGTATTTTTACTTATTTATATATAAACTCATTTTAAAAATCTTATCCGATTGATCATAAAAATAATGATTAATATTATATATGTATACAAATAAAATTTCGTAAAGTTGCGTAATTATTGGTTAAAAAACAGGAAAAATTATAAATAATTTAGAAAACTTATTTATTCGTCAAATAATCAACAATAATATTGGGCTGTAAAACCTTTCGTTCTTATATTTACCACATGAATTTAATTACTATATATGTATACGATAAGTATGTATAGTATTCACAAGAAACTCTTTTCGTAGTTTTATATAAGGGATTAATAAAATTCATTAAAAAATGTTCGCATAACAAAAACATATTTTAGATACGCCGTATCGAAGCGTTTTTAACTTGACAACATTCTTAATGATTTTTAAAGGCACAAGTTCATATCTCAATCGGTTAATCCGAAAGATTTAATTTAGATGACTATGAATATCGTTAAATATCTTTACACAAAAATCTTTATGAAAAAAAAAAAACAGAAAAAAAATAATAAAACTATATTATCACTCATACTTCCATATCATCATATCAAAAAGTGTACTTTTCCTCACATTGTTTACACTTACTATTCTATTTTCCACTAATTTTTATCTACATTTGTTTAAATCTAGCGTTGGCAATTTTTTTTTTACAAAATCAGTTTGAATAAGATCGATCGTTATGCTTAAAATTCAGTTTGTAATTTTATCAATTACGATCGAAAACTGCGTAGTAAAATATAATTAATAAAATTTTAGAATATACAATTGACAAATTTGCACCAAAATTAAATATACTATGTCATTATAGTGATTTATTTTAACTAGAATCAAAAATTGTTCGGTAAGAAAAATATTATTGTTTTCATCGTTCACACACACACACACACACACACACACACATGCACCAGAAAGTAGCTCAAATTCTTTGTATCACAGTGCACATTTTGCACTATTCGTCATAGAACTAAACGGATAAAATTATGATTAAAAAAAAAAAGAAAAACAAAGTATATAATTGGCATACTTTCAATAATCAGTACTTGCATAATATGTGTTATCGTAAAATAATATCTACAAAAATCGTGATATGGCTTAAAGTACATAGCGCAGTCGAATAGATTAACTAATAGTTTTACTAAAGAGTAAATACCTACAAATATATATGTGTATGTGTCTGTGTGTATGTGTGTGGGTGTAAATAGTAGAAAAGAATCGATCTATAGAAGAGATATATAATGCATATTCTTTGTAAAAAATACATTTCCTCTTATAAAATACTTGTGTAAAACGTAATATTCTAGAGAGAATATCATAGAAAAAGTATAATGAACTACTAAGGCACATGTAATGTATCAAACAGCACTCATTAAAGGCACTTAAATACATCATAAAGTCGATCAATTAAAAAAAGGCAATATTACCCGCGATAATTGTAAAATTTATCATAAATACTTTCGCGATGCAAATAAATTCATTGAATCATTTGCAAGTACCTATTCTCCTCGAGTAAAGAGCTTAAAGATGACGTCATGTCGTTAACAACCATATTTGCGCTAGCTGGTAATGGTTGCGGCAAAGATATAGGATGAGTAGAACTTGATACGCTAGTCTCGTGCATATTGCCAGACCAATTTCTGCATTGTTGCACATACTCTAATGTTCTCCTGTAAGAATCTTGTCTCATACCTTGCGGTGGTTTAACCGGAGAACCTTGTTGTGATTGGCTTATATCTTTGCATTGTATCTCTAACAAACTGGTACCACCCTGTTCTTGATAACATTGTTCTCCATAACCCCACTGACAATTACAATTATATTGATGAGTATTAGGAGGATTAGATCGTATCTGACAACCATGGCCACAAATTTGTTGTTGTTGCATCCTACCATTACTTTGTAATGCATTACACAACTGTGGGGATGTTCTCTTAGGCATTGAATTATCATTTGTAATATTTTGATGATGGCCACTATTTGGATGAATACACGTTTGGATTTGAATGCAGGAATTAGTTGTTTGTGTTTGTTGCTGACATTCCTGTAATCCGCTCATGTTATTAATGACTTTAGTTTGATTAGTAACATTCATTTGCGAACAATGTGGTGACATTAATGTACACTGATTAGTATTTCCAGTTTGCTGATCCAAATGTAAACTCGTCATTTGACTATTAGGTGTTACCACCGGCCTTGTTGAACATTGATTAGTCGTTTGAGTACATTGTGAATTAGGATGGCTTATAGTAGATTGACCAGATAGCATTGCTTGCTGCGTACAGTGTGGAATTGATTGTTGACAATTAACATTTGAACGCGTTTGCATACACGATTGTTGACCCATCGACGTATGATTAGCCGATACACACGTTTGATTGGAATGATGGTTCGTTTGATTGCCCGCAGTGCGATTGCAATTGGAATTTAACTGTACTTGACAGCCATGATTGGGATAATAATTATGGTACATGTGATTTTGTGAGCAATTTCTTGTAAGTTGAGCTGAATTTTGTAACATATTTTGTGATGTATGTTGTGGTGCTAAAGCACCAGCTGCTGGAGAAGTCAATGGCTGATCACTTATATGACTAGGAGCATAGTGAGACCCTGGTGACATTACTTGACCACTTGCAGGACTCGCCATTTGTGCTGAAACTGGTTGAGATGCATAATTGGGAGGAGGTGGACAATACTGGGAAGAGGGATGAGTAGGTCGAGAGCTTGGACATTGATTGTATGGAATAGGAGAAGTATTTTGATAATTAAGGCAAGATTGTTGGGAAGACTGCTGAGCCGAATAACAATTTTGTTGATGTGTTTGATTGTAATTACAAGCAGGTTGCATCTGTCGTTGATAATGTAAGGGATTTGTACATATCGGTGATTGACAAATAGGTAGAGGACTGCTCCTATAATTGTTTTGATTTCCACCTGCTTGTACCTGTAAATTATAAATAATTCCTTAAATAAAAGTATTTACATAGATACCCTATAAAAAAAAGAAACTAAAGATTAACTTACTTGATTCAGATATTGCATCATTTCGTCTGGAATGACGAGTTTATTTTCCACCATTTCACCTTCCCCAACTTCATCCAAAATAACTTCTTGATTTGGATGAAGTTCTGGTAATTGTGCTGATCTTGGTCTCGGAGGCATAGGTGGAGACGTTCTATGTACCTGATGTCCTCTTGCAGGTTCAGACATTCGTCGATCACCGGAAGGTTGAGTACAATGTTCGCTAGGATTGTTCCAATCGTTTGGTTTACTTTGGATACCCTATATTAATAACATTCGTTTCATATATATAACATTTTTTTCTCAAAACAGGAATAATTGATATTGATTCAAATAATACCTGCAATGACATGTTTCTTGTTTGTAGAACCAGATTACTGGTAGAATACTGTCCTTGTATATGACTCGGAGGATTAATTCTACCAGACGTTGTGCTCATTTGACTACTTCTTCTAGAAGTACCAGGACTAATAGGATCGTAAAAACTCCCTGGTCCAGTAGGTCCAGTTCTTACAGCACTAATACCACTAGCCTGGCTACTTCTTCTACTACCAAAATCGGTTGATCTCATACTGCCATAATACGTACTAACAGTACTGTTGCTGTCTCTCCGAGGTTCGCTCAAAGGTTGCAATCTAAGTTGTAAATCCGATAAGCTCGTTTGACGAGCTGGAACACCACCTTCCATTTTTAAATCTGTGATCCTCCTGTTCAAGTCTCCGATATTACTCTGGGCCCCAATGCCACGAACGCCTCTCATTCCGGACACGCTAACCGGAAGCGTTGGTAAACCCTTGGCATTCAATCTTCCCTTCATTCGATTCCTCGAATTAGCTGTCGCTACCTGTTGCTGCTGATGAGATTCTATTCCACCAACCTGCGAATAATAATACTATCTCAAGATTTGACGATTCAAATGATAGATTCAAGAAATGAAAGTCGTTTAATAGTGTACATCTTTATTGCTTGTAATCGGATAATATAAAAAAGAAAAATTAGGTGTTGTTCTGATTGAAGATCTCGTTTACCATAGCACGAAGAGCAATTGGAAGATCGGCAATGTCTAAATCGTCAGGTTCTTCGGTCCATGGTTCTTCCGAAAGATTGGCTCCGTCGTTAGTAAGAGTACCTACACCAGTCACTTCATCGTTACAACCTCCAATAAGAGGACTTCCTTGTTGTTGCATCATTCCAGGTGGACTATTGGCCTCACTCTCAGATTTGACGCTAGGACTCGATAAACTCGGTGTCTTGGGATGCAAATCTTCACTTCTACTAGGACTATGTCCTCCTGCACCTGCTTCGTCGCTTCCACCACCATCTCCGCCACCACCTTTATGCTTTTTATTGGCATAAAATTCCGCTCCGTGGACTGTCTTTACGTGTTTCCTCAAGGACGAAGGGTCCGTGTACCTTTTTGTGCAGCCGGGTGCTTTACAAACGTACGGTTTCTACACAAAAAAAAATATTTATTATCACAAGGATCAGCACACAAAAATGCAAACTTTAAAAAGAAAATAATTTCTTAGTAAAAGCTAATTTACCTCGTTCGAGTGCGTCCTGTTTTGATGTTTCGCTCGGTCGCTAGCATTGCTAAAAGCTTTGCTACAACCTGGATATTCGCAGGTGTATGGCTTTTCACCTGTATGAGATCTCAAATGAGTTTTTAAATTCTCCAGTCTCGAGTATGCCTTGAAACAACCTTCGAACTGTAAAAATAAATTTATCCAATTAAGAAAAACGATCCATTTCCAATCAATTTTATTATATTTATATCAACAAAATATGTTGTCCTCTTAAAATGTTGTTCTCTTAACATATAAATGAACGATCATAATATATTATTATCTACGTACCGTACATTTGTGAGGTTTTTCACCTGTGTGCCTTCTCATATGTACTACTAACATGTATTGTGCCTTAAATGGTTTTTCCTCTCTCGAACATTCCTCCCAACCACAAACAAAGCTCTTTTTATTAGCATGTATATGATCATTGTTTATATGCTTCACAAGATCATCCTGTTGAGTGTAAGAAAAAAATCACTTAATCAATGAAAACAATTCTTCATATCGTGATAGTTAAAAGACAAGGGAATGCATTTATAACCTGAGTTGGAAATTCAAGGCCGCAGTCCCTCCAATGACAATTCGTTTCAATGAAGTCACCAGGCTCATCTCGAAGATCCTCGCTAGGACTAAGTCCTTGAGGATGGGTCGGGGGAGCAGTGGTCGTTGTATTGGTGGTTGTAGTTGCTGGCTCTCTTTTTACCTTGGTAGACGTTCTTCTCGATGATGTGTCTGCCTCCGCGGTGATCGATCTCGAAGTTGTTTCCGAAGCTTTTCTACAGGATTCTGCATTCTACACAAAATAAGAATATTGATTGTAATTTATTTTGAGTGATAACAAAATCTAGAAATTTAAGTCATTTGTCAATAGATGTATAATTACAGTATTACGATTATTATCAAGAATCATTCTAGCCAAATTATTAAATACGATTAAACGTATATTAGTAGAATGAACAAAGATCTAATTTATTTGAACGCGTATGATGAATTCCGCGCTGATTTTACATGACTTGATCGTGGCGGAAAAACAGGAATTTGTTATTATGTATAACATATATTGAATTATTATTAAGAACAAATATATTTGTACAGATAAGCGTGTCTTTATGATATTTGTCTACTGAGAAAACCGCGCCATAAAATGCAAAAAAATGCCAGAGAAAACCAGAATCGTATGACGATTATGTAAAATATATTACGAAAACATTTCACTAAACTTAGATAAGACAAAAAAAAGCCAAAAAATTGTATAGAAAAAGATCCGACATATTGCGGAGACTATACTGATTCACTTTTCTTTGTTTGAAATGTAACGAGAGATTGCAATATACGCGCATAATATTTAAACATACCTACGTGTTATATAAATACATAAAACTTATTTTTATACGTTCTATATTCTAAAAACACTGAAATTTAGTGGAATTATGTGTTTGTAATAATCCTAATTTTACCAATTAACAATGAACCCCCTCCTATGGATCCATTCACGCGAATGATGGGTGGACCCCTCCTTCTGAACACGTGTTAAATCCTGAGACTACACTCTCCAAATGTGTATATTTAAATTTTGTATTTAAATTTGAAAATTTTAAACTTGTATTATTAAATTTGTATTTAAAATAATTGTACAAATGTTAGTATATTATATTGTTTATAAATTTGTATAAGTACCTCACTCTTTGGTGGTAATCCTCCATGAGGAGCAAGGGTCGTCGTCGATGCCGTAGAATGAGGTGGTACACAAGAATAAAGTTGGGAGTGAGACGAAAGACCGTGCGCATGAGGGTGAGAATGAGGGTGTGGAGGCAATGGCGGTGGTGCAGGCGGTTGCAAAGGATGCGTGTGAGGCAAAAGAGCCGCCGCGGCGGCGCTTCTCAAAAGGTGTGCCTGAAGCTGCTGCAAATGAGGCGCCATGCCAGGGTGCATACCTAACGCTGGGCTCATCGCTATAACAATACACCCAACGGAATTCATTCAAATATTCTTTATAGGCAACATATTAATCAATTATTCTAACGAAATAAATTGTCACTATAAAATCTTTTTTATATAAATATATATATTTAATTATTATATTAACACTATGACTTCCGCCGGTACGTGTAACCGAAATTTGTTCGATCAGTTTTGAATAACGACATCCACCTCGGTGTCATTAACAATCGATAATCGGATTGCAGGCGGCATAATGTTAATTCTTTTTTTAATTTCGTCTTTTTACCACTTTTTTTAGATTCAATAGAATATCACGGTTTTTGTTATAATATATTTGATTATATGGAAATTATTTCTAATAAATAGAATAAAGATAAAGGATGATAAAAAAAGTAATAAAAATGATTGAAATAAGCATTACTATAAGAAATAGTACTTTGCACAAATTGACGATAGAGGAAGATAATCATCGAAATCGGTCTACGTCCATTCTCTTGACAATCACATCACGACAAAGCTAACTTCCGGCACGTAGGCTTAGCATGCATTTTAATTGTCGGTCTCCGGTCTCTTGTAAGGTTGTTTAAAGATCACGCGAAGCGTGCAGATACAGAATGATTTTGTTCGTAACTTCTGTCTTACTTGAATAGACGATGAATAGTCTTTCGATAATGATCGTGTGAAAATGATCGAATACTTCTAACATTTAACACAAAAACACGGAATATCTTGATATAATATCGATAGGAACGTTATTTGAAAACATACCACTTTAATCGCAATAATATCTATTTAAAGAAATCGTCTAATTATCTAGACATTTTATGTATTGAATGCAATGCATAACATTGTCGTTGCATGCTTAGCTAATTCCGTAGGTAACCTCGCCAATTAATATGTTCATCTTGTCTGTAAATAAAACGTGACGGGGATTAGAAATGCATTAGTGCTTTCCACTTGTAGACCAACGTGATATTATTTTCATTCCGAGCGCGTGAATGCTTTTGAAACGATGTTAATACAAATGGGATTATGATAAAAAATTAAAGACATATCGTAGATCTTATTTACAATGTATTGTGCAAATTTTTTGGTCAAATTCTTTTTTTGTATTTTTTTTTATTATTCTTTTGTTTTTTTTTCTTTTTTATTTTCAGAAGTTCAACAACTCAAGCGTGCTTCGAAGGTAAATTTAAAACGTGTACGTTCCTACCGTCGGTCGTAAGTGCCACGCAAGAGGGAACGATCGACGTGCTACGCTTCTTGAATTTTAATTCGTTAATAACTTCATTTAATCGCAAATTACAGATGGTCCTTAATTCGCGAGCAAGGTGGGCCCCGATTTGGGGTAAGCACTTGACTCTCGCCCGTATATAGGTAGGTACTACTACCTACTACTATACATATACCGGTCGTAATCCACTTGTATAATGTCTTCATGCGCGCCAGAACCTCAATTTACTGCTACTGCATCTCGATCATGCAACGGCTATGTATATCGTTCAACATTAAAAGCCTGGATGATTACGATGACAAGGAAGCTTTAATTTCTCAACTAAATTTCTTCTACTTGTCTTTAAAGATTTATCATCTACCTCGTATGTGTGCCTATACTTTGACGACGTCTTTTTATATGTTAATCTTATTTTCATTTTACATTTCTTATTTTATTATAAGAGATAATTGACGTTATCCGTGAAAGATGGTAGAAGAAAAATCTAGAAAATCATAGGAGTAATATCTTMCCAGCCGATAAGTGACCATAACTGCCACTTGCACTACTACTTCTCGAACCATTCACGATGGATGCTAAACTATTTGGACTGAATCTAATCATGCTGTCGATGTCGAAGCGATCAGAGTATGGTGAACTACTTAGGGCTCGTTTCCGGCTAGCTCTAATCGCCGATGCTCTTGGACTTCCTAATCTCGATGACGCTGAAACTATAACAACAAAATAATATTATAAATATACACTATTTTATCGTATAACATACAACAGGATCAAAATAAATTAATAATATTTTTACATAATATATATCATTTTCTTTTTTTTTATATCGAGATTAATTATATTTTTTGTTGTCTCTTTAATACAAAAATAATAATTTATTAATTGTGTAAATAAACACTCGCATATAGTGTGATACAATATTGAAATCTTTCCGTAATCGGGAAGGTAAGAGTAAAAGGTAAAGAAAAAGAGGGCTGATCTTGCGGGTTGAACGATTTAGCAGCGATTTGCTTTCGACCGCAGCCCAAACGACAAACCACTTTCTTAAGACCGCGGTGGCGGCTTTCTTGTACGTACACTATCGTTGGTTATACGTTTTACTTCCATACATCCCTCTCCTTCTCCTCTTCTTTTTGATTCCATCTACTTTACTCTTTCTTTCCTTCTCTCTCTCTCTCTCTCTCTCTCTCTCTCTCTCTCTCTCTCTTACGAGCGTATTCCGCAAGATAAAACCACTCCTTTTATCTCCCTCTCTCTCTCTCTTTCTCTTGTTGCTTCTCGACCACGAGCAACCCTATATAGAGAGAACGGAATCACGAAGAAGGAACCTCTTCTTTCTTTCTCCTGGCTTTCCACTTGGTTGATCGCTCGTTCACGCACAACAGGTATAGAGTTACTCGTGGCTTGGTAGTTATGCTCCTTTTCTTGCCTCCCTCATCTTCTCTCGTGCAATTTCTCTTTCTCTCTCTCTCTCTCTCTCTCTCTCTCTCTCTCTCTCTCTTTCTTTCTTTCTCTCTGTTTTACTTAGTCCTTCTATCTCAACTCTTCTTCCACTGTACCCCCATTCCGCAAAACCAAGCCACCATGCGCCAGAACGGTCTTTTATCCTTTCGTGGGTTATTAATTCGACCGGTGATCCAATTTACGGCGAGTACCAACCAATGGAAAAGACGGAAAGGTAACGTATTCGGCGGTACGTTTCTCTGTCTCTTCAACATCATGTTAAGGCGAATGGCCCTTTAACCGTCGTATCTTCTTTCCCATTTGCCGCTTCAAAAGAATCATTTCTCTCTCTCTTTTCGCAAGCCATCGCCTTTTCCCTCTTTTCTTTTTGTTTTCTTTTCCCTCTTTGTTTCTTCTTCTACTTCTTCACCTTCTTGTTCTTCTTCTTTCATCTCGATCGAGCGTGTTGTGAGCGTTAATTTAACGAAACGAGCTGCTTCCTATGGAGTCAACCTTGTCAAATATATTGCTCGGATGTTCGACAGAACATTTATTCTTTTTACCATAACAAACATTATTTCTTCTTCTTTTTCTATCATGTATATATATATATATTTTTTTTTTTATTTAAGCGTAAACGCGATAGAAAAAATTGTATACCTTGGTACAATAAATTTGTTGGTAATAATAATTTTGGAATACGATATTGAATTGATACAACGAGGAAAGTGTTAAAGAAGTATAGGTATAGTGAAACCTTGTTAAGTGTAAGCCTTGTTTTTCGCAAACCGATCTTCTCATTAATCCTTTAGTCTCAGCATTTCCCGTTACCACCACCATCACAACTACCATCACCTTCTACTGTCACGTGATGCAGTAGACCTGACCAATGATCATGATTCTTGTCAATTCTTCTCCCATAATTCTGAGATATTGTTGAAATATGAGTAAATATTAGCTTGTTCAGACATAAATATGTATTGTATATAATTAAGCATGACTGAGCGCAACTGTACTAATCGAGCGACAATATACAAAAAAACGTGTTAATGAATCGTAACGTATACTTTTGAAGAAATTTGTTTATCGATTTAACAGTGTATATAAATGTAGCTCTCGAAATCTCGAGTACTCGTATTCGTATTAATATTCTCTTATTCTTATTTTTATTCAAATTTTAACGTGCATCGAATAAATTTAACAGATATTCCATTCGTCTAAATTAAAAACATTAACAAATGCGAATATATTCTGTTTAAAAATGGGTTTTCTATAATTCTTTATAATAGAGAATATAAACCAATGTGTGTGTGTGAAATATTATAAAAATTGTGAAGATAATGACAGAGGTGGAAATCCCTCTGGTTGTTTACGAATTAAGGGAGCTTGTGTTTGACGAGATTTCACTGTAAATAAATTTGGAAAAAACGATTATTCGTCGTTGATCCAAAGTAATATCAATCGAATTATCAAAGTTTGTTTTTTCGGTTAAACTAGGATCCCTTATCTTATCAATTCTCAGAGTAAGACCCTTTTTCGTTGGATCCTTTGTCGTTGGATAAATCCCAACGGAGATTAATGAATATGCGAACGAACCTTCGCTTACCTCCTGCTATTTTCTATCTCTCTTTCTTTCTATCCTTCTCTCTGTCTTTCTCGCATCGAGATCGTGCCTCTCGACCAGGATATGCAAGGATATCCCATGAGGCCTACACGGCTCGGTAAGTCGCCGCTCTTTTCTCTTTCTCGCGAAGGGAACATGGGATTGAGACATGTAAATTGGTGCAATCGGCCACTCCGATCGACGCGGTTCACCCGATCCTACTCTGCTACGCGATGCATGCTACGGCGCCTACAGGTCTCTTCAAATTCAACTCATAATACAACAAAACATCAATTAAAAACAATCTGAATACGTTTACTTCCCAAACAGAACAAAATATTTTCTCGAATCAATCGAATTCCTTAATTAAAATGAATTACTTGATCTGTTGTATCACTTTCGTTTATTCGTTTGATCAATGCGAACGATAATTGAGTTCTATAATGAATCAAAGAAATGCATTCGACCGGTCAACGCGCAAAATAAACATATATATATATATATATAGGTGTGCATCGATAAATGTAACATAGCTAATATATATATATATCGAGTAGAAGAAGTATTGTGAGACAACCTGTAGGGTAGGCGCTAAGGTGTTAATGAGGTCATGTCGCTCCGAGTCGATTCAATTATGCAGAGGTAGCGGTTAACGAGGCCCCGTTTACCCTTTCAGTCGTCTTTTAGCCTCTCGGCCTCCTAACCGGTCGATCTCCTACCTGCTGTTAAGCGCTACTACACCTACGGCTAGCTGGCACACATAATTCCTCCGCACGCAAAACAGCATGCTTCGGCTTGACTCGACTGGCAAGTGTCCAACCTGGTAGCGATCGACAACGTGACGAAACTCGAAGAATTTGAAGACATTCCACTTTCGTTATCCTCTTTGGTATCTCTCTCTCTCTCTCTCTCTCTCTCTCTCTTTTTTTCTCTCTTCTATCTTTACTGATCTCCGAGGTATGTTTCTTTTGAAAAGAAAGGAAAGGTAAAGATCGTTCCAAGATAGTTCGGAATTACATATATCCAAAGTCTAAAGTTAGCGAGAGAGAAAGTTTTCGAAAAGACTTGTAATGTGTTAATTGCTTAATCGATCGTGAATTTACTCTGTACGTTCTCTGGATCATTTTTTAAATCGATTAGAAAAAAATGAGATAAGATATCGCCGCTTGGAAGGAAGCCCAAGAGTACGATCATCCTAGTCCAGTCTTTTTCTCTCACACCCCTCCCTCCTTTATCCTTTTTCTATCCCCGAGTGAAGAGGGAAACGAGATATCGGTGTCGAATATCGCGTACGCTTATCCTTATCGAATTTTTTCATCGCTATTGGATAGATCAACGCAAGGTTAACTTCGAGCTCGAATTCCATGGCTATTCGTAGAAATGGTCGAACGAACGGTCGAACGAACGGTCGAACGAACGGTCGAACGAACGGTCGAACGAACGGGCTCTTGATTTTCTAACCAACCTGATCTTTTTACGGTGTACAAAATCGCCTGTTATAAAAAAGTCTTTTAACGCGAATAATTTATTCCAGAAGCTCTTACGCATTTTATATCTCTTTTTATTATGTAATATACATTCTTATAAAGTTCATCATTTGTATTAAATTTGCATATTTTTTTAAATGTATCTTTTTTTCTACTTTTATATTTAATCCGAATAAGATACATAATTTACATAGTAATCAACCTATGTCTTTCATTTGTCACGACTATGATGATATTCTCAGTTATATGAATATGTCTATGTTGAGTAAGAGGAGGATGATAATTGACACACTGTTTGTTTGCTAAATTTTTAGAGGTTTTATCAATTGTCTCTCTCAATGTTCCATCTAAAAATCTTAGGAATCATGATCTGTTACATATAAAAGCTCATCACATACCTCTTATGATTACTTTACCTGTATTAATAGAATATCTCAATCTATGTAAATTATTTTCATCGGTATATAGATTTGTTTCATCGGTTTTTATCTTCTGTCAAATATTATCTACATTTTCTGTGACTATCTTTATGTTACTTTTTTGCTTCTTTTTTATCTGACCTCTATTGTAAAATTTCTGTATTATTGGGTTTATATATCTATTTTATTATATATTTTTATTAGATAAATAAATAAATAAATTATAAATAAATACTTACCGTCGATCGAAAAAGGAAACTCTGACGATGCTAATGTACTAGATGGTCCTGTTGCATGGAGTATATACTCTGGCCCCAAACCACCCAGTCCTACGAAATAAAATGATAGAGCATGTTTTAATATAAAAGCAAATGATATGATTAACATTTAAAAAAAAAAAAACCATGATGAACTTTTTTTTGCTCGAACTATGAACAAACAATATCGTGTATCATCATTGTTTACAAAAGGGAAGTAGATCTTGAAGCATCGGTAGATGGATCCGTATCAAGGGAAAAAGAGAGAATGATGATGATGATGAAGAAGAAGAAGAAGAAGTAGCCTTAACAAGAGCGCTTTGTATGAACTATTGAATATATTTTCCGCCGGAAATGCGGGCCCTTTTGATAGAATTCAACTAGAGGCGTATACCCAAGGAGATTTCAAAGTCTACGATCGTCAAGTTCCCCAAGTACTCGAGATATTGTTTCGAGATATTGAACAGAACTCGATCGAGATTGACTCAAGTAATAATTTCGTGGAAATATTGAGCTCATCTCAGTCGTCATCAAAGAATTGATTAAAATCACTTCTCCGTAATTAATTAACAATCATTTGAAATGTCACTTACGATTTTAAATCTTTATAAAAGAGACAAAGAGACAGAGAGAGAGAGAGAGAGAGAGAGAGAAAGAAAGAAAAAATAAATAGGAATAAAAATATTTGTTAAGTGTCGTATTTGGATTGTAAATAACAGAGAGAAGAGCTTTTAAACATCTTTAATAGTAATCGTCCGAGACAAGGGACAATAAAGGAAAGTGCGTATTCCCCGAGGCCGTAGGCCGTTCTAATTATCCGAAGACAAGTACAAGAGTAAGATAATTACCGTGTAACGAGGCGCTTGGACTGTGCGTGGAGGCCTGAAGCTGATGATAAAGGTGGTCCATGTAGTTGATCCGGAAGGGGGGATGCAGGCTCGTATGCTCCGAGAGGGGGTGACTCCTTCGGAGGAAATCCCCGCTGGAAATCCCGTTTCCGGCGGTCCCGCCCCCTCCAACGTTTCCGCCACCGCTCGTACCCCCACCTTCTCCTCCACCACCACCACCTCCTCCCCCAGCGCCTCCTCCTCCTCCACCACCACTACTCCCGTTTCCACTACCTCCGTTACCGCTGCTGCTGATCGCTATTGTGCTACCGGACAATCTGCAAATTCAACATTTAACATCGATCATTTTTTTTACATTCTTTCCAATAAATTTAATATTATAATTGTTCTTTTAAACGTGCATTCATTTAACATCTTTATTTCGGTTTAATTATTAGATTTCTTTTTATGGAAATAACATTGGGAATATATTATCGTGACTTACGAAAGTATTTGAACACTCTCTTACTCTATGAAATATTTTATTAATTATAATAATTATATTATACGACGCTTATTAACATTAGATGGAAGTATAACTCTCTAAATTATATAGGTAAAGTTTCAAGCAAATCGAAATATATATACAATAGTTATGATTTATTTCTTACAAACGTAAAGATTGTTGAAGCTACAGAAATATTTGAACAGAAAACTTTGAAGTCTTTAATATTTAGTAGGGGATCACCTTTGGCACGAATAACATCTTGTAAACGATCGTGCATACTCTTTACTAACTTTTATGTAATACTCGATGATATGGAACCCCATACTTCGAGTATTTTGAAATAAATCATAACTATTGTATATATATTTCGATTTGCTCGAAACTTTATTTATATAATCTAAAGAGTCGTACCTCCCCCTTCCCCTTATTCAATGTTAATAATATGTTGGTAAGTGTTGTATAATATACTTATAATAATTAATAAAACATTTCATGGTAAGTGTTCAATACTTTCGTGAGTCACTGTATGCGAGTTGTTTAAATATTTGAATCAATCTTTTATAACATTTATAATTTTATTCATTATTTAGGTAATACTATAATACTCTTTGTACGCGCAACTACTAGACTTGTAATTAATTGGTTCTTAATCATTTTCCTCGGCAAAATTTTATCCATTAATTATAAGAAGTAAAGTAAACAATTCCCGACAGTACAAGGTATCTTGTCGTATATGATTAGACTAAATTATCTCTCTCACGAAGTATTCTGATTCAGAAGATTAAGTAGAAACGTATGTTACGAGTGACAACGTTTCGTCACGCATTGAGCACAAGGAAATGGTCCGGGTCTTGTGTACTCAAAGACTTTCTTTCTTTCTTTATTTCTTGCTTTCTTTCTTGCTATCTTTCTTTCGTTCTTTCATACTTCTCCGTATATTTTTACGTAGATATATATTAGCTTGTTTGTAAAGAGTATCTAAAAAAAAAAATCGTTATCCTATTGAACGACTACCGTGATAGGTGAAATGAAATAAAGTAATTCCGTATTGAGAGATTATGTCAATTTTTTACTTTCATCACTTTTATGCAACACATTGTTACAATTATTCACATACTTTTAATCGCACTTCATTTAATACTACTTTCATATCATAAAAATCAATGAAAAAAATTATTTTAAATGCAATCCAACAACATTCATCAGTTTCCTGAAAAATAAGATTGAGATCGATATGGTAATTAAACTTTCACAAAAAAAAAAAAAAAGAAAAAAAACAAACGGACGGTAAATATTAAATATGGTTAGAACCAACGTTTCCTCAAATACAATTAATCTAATTTCGATGCGTTTCACGCCAATGAAATAAAATATTGACACTTGTCGAAAGTTATCTTCTGCAAAAAAGAAAAAGAAAAAAGAAACTCGCGACTGTGTTTAAATATTAGCCTCTCTTGCTTCCGCTAGTTTGCCGAGCAAAGTCAACCGGTCGGTTAAGCCGTTTGACTTTGCTCTCGCAAAGAGAGAAGTCCCACCTGTCTCACACTGGCAACCTCTTGTTACCTGCTTTATGTTCACGCTTCGATGTTTAACGGCTTTGCATCTTTTCTGCGGCCAGCAAACAGGATCAGGAAAGTGAGATCGCGTCGATGCGAGGATCGTAAGAAATTCTTTAAGTCGATCGTTCTTAACTCCCCTAAGAAGAGTGGCGGGGAGCAGGAGATAGGGTAAAAAAGGAAAGAGAGTGAGAGAGAAAGAGAAAACACGAGTAATACCATCGAGATAAACGATACCACGTCGTATGTACCTTCGCGAAGCTTAATTTGTTACGTAGAGAGACACGAGCCGCCTGTACACACCGAGCAAATAGGCTTAACAGAACAACCTCTCGCTTTCGAGTAAGTTTACGCTTTCACTATCTCATGAACGTGTTCCTTCTAGCCAAAGAAGAGAAGAAATTTTCCTTCCTCTCTTTCTATCGTTCTTAATTCATTTACGATCGGAGATGAATTTAATCTAAGATACTTTGCTCTTTATTTTTGTTTCATACATGTTTCATCGTTATAATATCGTACGAGTAACAAACAGAGTGTTCATTCGAATGGTCGTTTGAATTCGTAACGATTTTATATTATTACTCTTATTTTATATTATTTTATTTTATTTTATTTTTTTTTTTTTTTACGTAATAATTGTGATATCGAAATGCAAATATATAGGTATAAATTATTGTTACCAATTGAAATATATTAAATTGAACTGAAGGTAATAAAAATGATGTTATACTGACTTATGAACATAACTATCAAGGTAAAATAACGCTATTAATTGTAAGTTTTTGTATTTGTATAAGCAATAATATATCATAATAAAAAATTTTAGTTGCTGAGGAAGTCTCAAATAGAGACGAAACGTTCAACGGATAAATATATTGTTCATCTAATCTAAACCTGTCCAAAAAATAACATCCCTAAGAATCAAACTTAGTAATAATATTAAAAAATTTTGGATAAGAAAAAAAAAAAAAAAAATCTTTATTATATTAACCTTAATAGTAAGTTTCGACTTTGTCGAAAGGCACTTTGCCTGCATTGTTGGCAATGCTTAGGAATTACTAGCAATGGCGGATTACCAGCTTTGACGGTAAGGAATATAAAGATAAAGGGGGGTGGGGATAAAGAATAAAAAGGATAAAAGAGTAAAACGTGAAAAAAGAGAAGGGAGCCAACGGCAGCAGGAGCAAGAGATAAAACTCGAGTCGTTAACTCGACACGCCGGAAACCGACGCATCTATCTTTACCTACACAGTCCGTCTGCCATGGAACCTTTTTGACATTCCTGCAGCCTTCGAAGCGGTACTTTCGTAATGCCTTTCTTTAAACAGATTTTAAGTAAGACTCTTTTGATCGAACCGACCGCCAGTTAAAAAAGTCTCATGAAAATCCCCGTAGACGTGCTTTCTTGAATATTAAAATACCGGAAATGAAAATTATTCTTATAGGATATTTTGATCGATGTATTCCATAAAAAAACGATGATTTTCTTTTTCCCCTCGAGCTTCTTTCTTTTTTTTTTTTGTTTTGGGGTTTTTTTCTTTTTCTTTTTACTAACTAATATCAAAGGGGAAAAAAAGGGGGAGAATAAGAATCATGACTTTTGAAAGGCAGAAGAGAAAAATGACGAGGTTCGCAAGCTCATTAACGTGACTCGTGTTAATGAGGCAAGTTAAGCAAAACATCTGTTGAGGAGGTTTCCTTGTTGAGCCACGTGCAGATACAGATAAAGAAGATGACGTGGAAATGTAGTCACGTGTCAGGACCAAAAAACAACGAACAAGGAAGTTAGAATAGCTAAAAGACTTATATATTGGTAGGTTGGTTGGAGTTCTTCGTAAGATTGTTATCGGAAGATAAACTGTCAAAATATATATCAATCTATCCGTTCATTTCTACGAAAGGAAAATTCGTGGAATAAAACATATTTAAAATGGCGGTTCCAAGTAATACGTGGCCTTCGGGAGATCGTAAGTAAAACGTAAAAACGTCATCAGGGGAGGGACAGAATGTCGTCTGGAACCTAACACTTCCATGGGGTCTCGAGTTATGATATTTATTGCAGCGCCTTGCTGAATGCAAGTCACACAAGACTCGCTTCTTGAGAGAGTAAAGCAACCATATGGTAGATGTGCTGGGATGCTGAACGGCACGCGCTTGTTTCGCAAGAAGCGACGAAATAAGAAGACAAGCGAGGAAAGTGTGATCAAAAAATAAGAAACACAGAAAAAAAAGAAAGAAACAAGAATTATTGCCAGTCGTGAGAACAAATTTTTCATTCCTTTTTCATTTATGCTGACGATATAATAATTATTTATAATAATTTTGTATTTTTTTCAAACGATAAGAAAAATATCTAAGTAAAAAAGCTTCGAACAATTTCGCAATACGAAATGAAATTTTAAATAAGATAACGAAACGTATATCAAATCTTAGCGATCTAAGTGCAAGCGTTATAATGCGATTTCGGTTAACTCATCGAATCATCGAGAACGAATACCGCGTGATTTACAATCGCAACCTTGGCACTTTGCCACGGGTACTTTGTGCCGAATTCCAGAAAACGTTGATGGAACCATAAGCGTTAAGAGCAGACTCTATTGCGAAAAGTCGTTAAAGAACAAAACAAATTTGGACTTGCTTTTCTTGGAAAGTATGAAAGAAAGGATTGTCTGATAAAATGTTGACAACTAAATCTTAGGTGAAAAATATGAAATTGTTTATTTGGAAAGTAATGGAAAGGGTTGGTTGGTTGTTGGATAAATCTTGGAAGATGTAATACACGTATGTAGTTGAATACTAAAGGTAATATGAAATAGATTTGAGATAGTTTAACAGATTTGCTTGGAGTGACAACCATAAGCGCGATATTTTGCGAGGCGCCGTTGCTCGATGCTCGGTGCTCGGCACCAAGATTTCTCGATGGTAATCGAGAGGCTCGTTAATCAAGATATTTACACGCGTGATCGGTCGCTTCGGCCGATCGATATGCGAGCCGTCGTTGCGGATCTATCGAAGGCTTGGCTTCGTTGAAAATCAAGCTTAACGGCGCTATATGCTAGCTCGCGGCGTTATTTATAGGCTATTTGAAAGCTTCGCACCACCTCGCACGCGTACGTGCGTCTAATTCATTTAAACTGTTCGCTTGCTCGCTCGCTCGCTCGCTCGCTCGTTCGTCCTCCAAGGATAAAATCAGGATAAAGAGGAGAGAAGAGAAGGGTATTCGTTAAGGATACGAGAACTCGATCATTTCGTACTACCTACCATCGTACTTTCA